TGGGAATCCATCGCGACAAATTAGCCGTCCGTCTAGCGGGAAACCAACTACCACCTACTAAGTATCAAACGAGCAGGCGGCGACCACAGATCTAGGATCTACTAACTTGCCAACCTAGGGATGCGAGGGAAGCAGGAGGAACAGCTTTGGCGGAGTCGCAGCAAATGCAGAGTAGGTTCAGCAGGAAGTGGCGGAAGAAATGGCGGAAGGTGGAAACGGGAGGGTGGGGTGGAAGGCGGGAAAATTGATTTCTTGTTGGAAAAAGCGTCAGCGGGATTACAGACGGTGCGTTACGGTCAGCAGCGGTAAATGGTGGAAACTGGAGTCTCACCGTGTTGAAACCTACTGAACCACAGTCAAACGTGCGAACATTCCTGAGTAACAGTGCAACGATTGTGGCGGGGGGGGAGGTCGCTTGCGGAGATCCGCTTTTGGGGTTTCCGCGGTAGAGTCGCAGATGGAATCAAACCGAGGTCGATAGGTACACACCCTCGTGTTGCCCTATGAAAATCGTTATGCGTAGTTTGACAATCCAATGGACTCTTGTGTTATAACTTTCATTCTGGTGCTAATGTCTCACCTATTATTACCAAAATTGATATCCAACTCATATTTTGGCCCATCAAAACCATAAAATAAGAATAATCATGTAAACTAGCACCGCAATACCTTAAACCCTATCCGCATCAATGTACTTGCTTAATCTCATGTATTGGAAGTTATCTCATTTGATTTTGGTGAGGTGCAAGGTGACTTCTGGTAGATATACATACCATTGAACCGTAAGGCTTTAGAACTCCTATCAAGCGGTTTTACCATAAGGTTTTAGAACCTGTTGTGATGGACGTTCTGGTCAGTTCGGTGGCGGGTTTTCTAACTCATATACCAGAGCTGTCAATGTATGGTACAACTTCGCCGCGCTGGAGCACCTTCTCTTCCAATCAACCGAGCTGGCTGGCCTTGGTACGGCGGTGGTGAAGCCTCACGTGTGGGTGATCCTTCCCAGGCCTCCTGCTATTGGGCCGCTTGCTGGCTAGGCGTGTGAAGTGAGGCCTTTCTTTCCAAGCCTGATTTCTAGGCATGACAGTGATTTGGGCGAATGAGCCTGGCTGATGCAGATCCGAAGATCTGGTTCGCCCTAGCGAACTTATTTGTAAGGGCATTAAATCCGAAGTATGTATTATTTACGCCTCTTATCATCAAACTCGCAAGCGTCGCTAGTTGCTCGGATCAGGGCAATGGGCAGTGGTTTTCCGTCACCCAGAGCAATGTCAGTCGGACTGCCATATCCCAGGTTGTCTACAACCGGGGCAGAAGAAAAACAAACACTGTAAAGCCTCGACTGCGTGGGGTTTCCAACCAACAACCCAAGTAAAAAGAGATTCTTCAAATCACAGATTTCGCGGACTCCGTTCGCCCATTGTCGCTGCAAAATCCGAACCACATCAAGCCGAACCAGGTTGGATACGTGCGTGCGTTTTCTGGTTCTGCTGGAAGAGCAAGCCGACAGCGAGGTCCTTCGGATCATATCATCGGATTATCGGAGTCAGAGGAAGGCTTGCTCTGCTGCCGAACACCTCACTAGCATCACCCCCCTTGCTGCCGTTTATGGCTGAGATAGTGTCCACGCGTTCGTCGAATCAAGCTCTCCACTCCAACCCAAGTTCCAACGTCCGTCAGTCAGGAGCACCACCTCTTCTATTCTAAGATAACCTTTTTCTCCTTGGAATCTCGACGTCTTCGAGTTGCCATACCTCTCAGACCCTTCCAATGGTTGACAGTAAAGGTCCTGCTTCTAGCTATCAGTCGCATTACTACCAGCCCGTGATTAGTCTAATGGAGGAGCAAACGGAGCGGCTAAGTGGTGGTAGGGCTGGCAAGTGGTCGAGATCGACTGGAGCACATAGCGGCCTCTCAGATTCTCGCGCTACTGCTTCCGACATTTCCCGGGTTTCGTCGCGCGAAGAATCTGCAGCGCGCCACGTTCCTGACATACTTTCCCGCCGTAATCTGGGTCTTCTTACGAAAAATGGCTCACCAAATGATGCTACTAGGGTTTCGCAGCGACAGGTTCGATCACCAGTAACTTCTGGTCACGCCTCGCCTCAACGAAGCATTTCCGGGGAAAGGAACGGCTATCGTTACAATCGTGTCTATTCAGACCCACCAGCTGAACTGCCATTGGCTGGCGACGGATCACATGCTGTGCTGCGTGGGACCACAGACGGTGTTAATCGCGCGAGCGGTCTTCGTGATTCCAGCAGGAAAGGATCAGGTAGTACTGTTACATCAATGGGAGGGGCAAGTGCTGTGCTAAGAGTGGCGGAAAATGGAAGTATGGAGGGTGTGTTTGCTCAGGAGTCAAAAGCCGGCTTTGTTGCGGCTTTGACATGGCAGGCCAAAGTGGCGTTCTGTGTGCTTCTCCTCCTGCTGCTGGTCGTGCCAATACTGCTTCCTAATCTCGGAGCGCCTCCAAGTGCTATTCTGCTGCTGCCAGTTGTGGTAATGCTGCTACTTCTGGGCCTAGCTGTTTTGCCTTCATCTGCAGTTCCTTCGGTTAGTTCGTATGGGGATGCTGCTACTGTATGCTTATAGCTTCCCGTTGCCTTGATATAGTAGCTCTCTACTAGTAAGACTGGTTCACTTTTACTTTTTTATTACTTGACCAGGTTGTGAGTCTGGTTTTTAGAAGTGCAATTGGAGTGCTGGATTTCTCCGAAATGAACTATAGCATTATATATGTTGCGTGTACACTTCCTCCCTCGTTTCAAAGCTCACCGCAACACACGGCACTCGTGGTCAATCCATCAACAACCAGGGGCCCCCATTCAACCAAAAAGCAACGCGCGTGGCGGACCACATTGCTCGCCTGGTTGTCAGGTTCGCTGGCAGAACTGGAGGCGACAATCCCGTCCGCCGGAAGATCCGTTCAGTGCCTTCGAACCCTTCCCCATCCCACCCCAAGCCTCTACAGCGGCTGTTTTGGTCCCTTTCATCCCCAATCAACCGCGCCCCTGGTCAGCATGTTCAGATTCTCAGCGGATACCGTGCTAGAACTCAGCAAACCGAACCAGACCGTGACAAAACCCCTTTGATAACAACGCGCTCCCGATCTGCCTGCAAGTTCAGATGGTGTGCGGCTGGAAGGAAGCTTTGAAGGATTCGCGTTCAGTGCTTCAGACGGTGTTTCCCTTGTTAGACAATTATTGGTGCCTCTGGATTCTGGAGCGGAGGTCCAGAGAGCCTGAGCGGGCCTTGCGGACGTTCATTCATCACAGAGGACTGCGCATGGCGACGTCAAGCATGCAGGACTTCCAGAGTCGTCGTTGCGAAGAGCTTGTTTTGGTTTCATTGTGCTTGTGTTCTGATTCTTGGACCGTGAAGCTGTGTGCCAGAGTGCCCTGGAGCTACTTAGCTTGCTGCTTTCGTAGTTGAGAAAGGAGTCTGGTTCTAGCTTTTCTGTTCAGCTACCTCGCCAGTGCTCGCAATTTCGGGAAGGCTTCGTCCCTCACAGTGATTTCTTGAAGTAGTATATTGAGTGTGCCTGACTGTTAGTACGACGGGACTAGCTTTGTCCGAAACATATCATCATTCCCCTCTGGGTGATAACCTTTTCGCGTAGCTTCCGTCTACTAATTGACACGAATAAAATATGGATTCCCGGTTGTCGGACCTATCGAAGGTAATCACCGCGACACTGGAAAGATGTTGCTCTTGTTACGATTCCTTCGTTACAGCTACTCTCGTTACGGTGTCGTATTGATAAACAATCCCGTGGGTCCGCTCGCAGTGGCCGTTGGATTTCCTTTGGTGCACCGACCAAGACTGGACAGCGGAGAGCATGCCTTCTGATTCCGCCATTGAATCCGCTCTCAAGGTACCTACTAGCACCTTCTCCGTCTGCATTAAATAGTGATGACTTTTGAGTCGACTCAAAAGTCAGAATATAGAGCATGCCGTGTGATTCCGCCATTTGATCCGCTCACAAGGTACAAACTAGCACCTTTTCCGTCCGCATGCTGGAATTTGTTTAGTCAAGCTCGCATCGTTTCCTGAACATGGATTAAGAAGGTCTGTTTCTGGTGATGCAGAGAGACGACGAGCTGCTGAAGATTCACGCGGAGTTCGTCCCAGTGATGCTCAGCCACGAGGAGTTCTGGAAGCGATACTTCAGGACAGTCGACGCCATTGAACGCTACCCGGGATGGACCTCCGAGCAAATGGTAGGTGTCATTCTCTACGTCAATATAAAAACAAAAAGGGATTCAGGCTTCCAAGCCGTGTATTGTTTCTTGTCTGGAGAGCTCATTCCGCTCCCAAGTTGTAAATGCGTGATTTGTCTGTGCAGGAACGGCAGATAAGGTCAGCGAGTCAGGCGCTGCAATACTCTCTCAAAAAGCACAGCGTCCTGGATAATGTCGCCAGAAGCGCGCCAAGTGCTTTCCTCCTGCGAAACCTGGCAAACGCCGTCCGGTCAGTTGCTATCTTTGGTCTTCGTTTTCTCTCTCAGCCGGTTGGCTTAATATTTGTTAAATGCGGTTATTTATTTTTCGTATCTTATGGATGTCTATGTTTTTTCTTCTACAGTGACGCGGAACCGTACACATCCGTGAAGGAGCTGGCGGACATCATATATTCTCCCTCTGGCGTGTTATTCCGTGCTGTTGAGAAGACCCTGAACGGCTCCTCATGGCTGCCTGTTGCTACCACACCAGAAACACCCCCTATAGAAGCTTCCCTCTCGGATTGCTCGAATGAAGACGCGGTTCGGATTCTCTTCAAATCAGGTGCCTTGACAACGATCCATAGCATTTTTTGTTGTCCACATTCTTGTCCTGAGGAGGTTGACCAGGAGATGCCTGCAAATGTTGTTTGTCGTCCTGCTGGTTATTGCTCTCATTCTATCTCCGTCAGAAGGTATTATATTTAGCCTGAAAAGCAGGTATTTGAGGATTATCCTATCCCATCTACACGTCTAAATCTCCTGCCGTGCACATCGTATGTTTCCTGCTTGTTCCGGTGATTCTTCTCTCATGCTGCTAGCAGGGGAAATGGATGCATTCACCTGTGGCTGCTGGCGCGCCCTCACAAACTTCTCCCCCAACTCGAACCACTGTTCCTCATCCAACGGCTCTCAGCTCTCCTCATCCAACGGCTCCCCAATAAGCAACCACGGTTGCTGCTTCCAGGAAACGGACCTGGACCAGGACCGGATCTCCCTCCCTCCCCTCCGCAAGATCTCTCACAGCAACGCATCTGGACCGTTGAACGCTCCATCTGGATCGCCATCAACGGCGTGTGGTTCACCTGCTGGGTCACACGGAAAGGTGGCGCTGAAATCCCTGCACGGCGCTCCTGCTGGGAGCCTGGCTGTGCGACTGGCTGAGTTGATGGCGGGGATTGGATCGCCTGAAGAGATGGCTCGCTTGTGGCTCGAAGTGATGCAAGAGGTATGCGTGGGGTATGTGCGCAAGGGCGGAAGTGGTACGCATGCATGAAGTGTGTGCGCACGAGGCGTGTTAGCAGAGAGGGCAGAAATTAGGGGACCAAGTCAAACACGCCTCAAACAAAAGTGTTTTTCATGCCCTTGCAGAAGAAAAGCTCTGTATGCTCCACGCACTCCCCCCCACCCAAACATCAGGTGCGGGATCGGTGGGAGGAAGAGATTGCGATCCCACACGTGTATGCAGAGTGGGAGGGGCCGGACGGGGGGGTGTGTGGCGTGCTGCAGCAGTGGCAGGTGCTCAACTGTGCCGTGGCCAGGAAGCGGCATAGGCATTCAGGAGCACCTGCAGCACGTGAATTCCCCACTATCGAACCTCACCAAATTCACTTTTCCGTGCCTCAACACATCAATATCTACGTGCTTTGCAGGTGCGGGATCGGTGGGAAGAGGGAATCGCCATCCCACACGTGTACGCAGAGAGGGAGGGTCCGGACGGGGGGGTGTGTGGCGTGCTGCAGCATTGGCAGGTGCTCAACTGCGCCGTGGCCAGGAAGCGATGGCGCAAGGCACGAATCAGCAGCAACATTCAGAGGCACCTGCAGCACTCCCACCTGCACCAGCCAAACTCCTTCCCCTTCTTCTCGGAAACGGCTGCTGGGGATTTCGGGAGGTTTGAACCGACGCTGTGCAAGACGTGTGGGAGTTACAATCTGTCGGAAGTGCTGCTGGAAGTACCGCTGCAATCACCACTGGAATCACCGGTGCACTCGCCGCCAGGCGGATCGCCCAGGCGTTTCGTCGAGGGGAACGGACGTGTGCTGGGTGAGAAGCACGGCTCCTGCTCCTGGGCCTGCTTCCCGGATCCAGCTGGGACTGGGACTGGCACCGCAACAGGAAAAAATCTTGAGCTGACTCGGACTGAGAATCCTTTCACAGGGCTGACAGGGGAAGGTTGTGATGGTGGTGGTGAGGCGGGAGAAATGCGGCTGCTGGTGGCAGGGGCGCGCATGTGCGAGCCGGAGGTGCAGGATGGGCCGCTGATCACCAGCGTGTATCTCGCAGAGCTGGAGGAGGCCATCATGCACACCGGCAGCCTCAACATCGCTCACAAGCGGCTCTTCTCCGACATGCAGGCGTTCAAGGTACGCTGAAATCAATTTTGAGATTTCTCAAAAAACTAATTCTCGTAGAAAAAATATCAAAAATTGCTCACAAGAGGCTCTTCTCTGACATCTAGGCGTTCAAGGTATGACTCTTGCGGCACCCCTCAAGTCTTTTCTGACATGCAGGCGTTTGAGGTACTGCGGCCTGATGCGCCCAAAAGAGCTCCTCTTAAGAATCTGATCCTGCGGTGCTTCCCATGCTGACCGTTCCAGAGCCTGCTGACTCATGGCCTCTATGAACGCGCGATGTTGAAATCACTTTTGAGAATTCTCAAAAGTGAGTCATTCTCACTTGCCACATTCATTTTCTTATCTATGCGTTTACTTGCCTGTGCAGGCTGCGAATCCCGGTTGCATTCTGGAGGACTTTGTGCGATGGTACTCGCCAGCTGATTGGTCGAGTGACGCACCTTCCACCAGAATGGGAGGAGTGGGAGGGCATGCGGGAGGCGCGGGAGGGGAGGATAGCGAGTCTACTGGCTCGAATGACGAAGAGGGATGTGTGCAAGGAAAGGGAGAGCGCAGCAAGACTGGATACCTGAGCACACGCATGTCAGGGCCAGGTGCGTCTTTGCTCAGCACAGGTTCAGAGGGGGCACTGACCGCACTGACTAATCACATGCATGATATGTCCAGGTGTGTCAAGTTTGACGTTGCATATGGTCAGCACGAGCCAGGTATCTGGGTAGCAGGGGTGTTGCATCTGTGCAGTCAACCCACTCACGTGTTTTTGTGCATGTGTTGCACCTGCCTGTTATTTTTGTCGTGCAGGCAACAAGTGGAGGCTGTATTGGAGCGAAGCCAAGCCCGTGCCAGCCCTCCTGCAGCCGCCTCTCTTCGATGAATGCGAGGCCGGGTGAGTGCTTTGCTGTGCCTCAGAACGCATTTGGCTGTGCTTTGATTTGCAGGGTGTTCTTGAGAGCCCCCCAGAACACCCTCCTGCTGCAGCCGCCTCTCTTCGACGAATGCGAGGCGGGTTGAGTGTTTTGGTTCGTCATCTACTCACCTGGTGAAACGTTTTTCAATGTCAGCCCACGTGAGCTGCTTGCTCGCATGTCAAATGTCCAGCTTGCATGTTCTCGCAGCGAGCTGCTTCAGCATTATTCCAGTATTCTCCTCCTTTCACTTGGGCGGTGCCTTGAACAGCTTTTAAGGCGCCTCAAAAGGCGAGCTGCTTCAGCATTATTATAATATTCTCCTCCTTTCACTTGGGCGGTTCCTTGAGCGGTCAACAGGGCAAGGAGCCTGGAGTATCTGGAGAGCATCAGCCCATCAGAGCTCTTCATTCAGCTCTTCACCTGCCTCGTAAGCCCGCTCTCATGCCTCCTATCCTTGCTACCTATAATAGTTTCTCGCGCCTTTTGGTCATGGGCCTTTCTGTTTCTGCCGTCCTTGATTCTGCTCGACTGGTCGTTCGAGGTGCCTGTGGGGTGCTCTGTTGCAATTCAAGCATCTGATTCTCTGCGTCTCGGCTTTCTCGAAAGGCAGCAGCCAACCAAGTTGGGTGGTTCATTCATGGAGATTTATCCATTGTCTCATTCGCTTGCAACTGTTCCAGGTGTCTGTGGGGTGCTCTGCAGCGCTTCAGGTGGCTCCCTCTGTGCGAGAGAGCAGCAGCAAGGCCCGGTTGGACGATGCTGTGAACACAACCACCATCCTCCCTTGTCTCTCTGTTTGCCACCTTCCCAGGTGTCTGTGGGCTGCTCTGCAGCGCTTCAAGTGGCTCCCTTTGTGCGAGAGAGCAGCAGCAAGGCCACATTGGAAGATTCTGTGAAGTACATCTTGCATGCGAGCGGGCGGCACATGACACAGGACAGAATGCGTTACATCTGCATGGTACGTTGCACATGATACTGAGTTACATATTCGTGGTACCTCGTACATGACACGGGACAGAATGCGTTACATCTGCATGGTACATTGCACGTGGTACTGAGTTACACTTGGTGGGTACTTTGTGCCATGGGTACACAGGACGCATGGCAGTCACACTCTCATTATCTCACTTTCTCACTCACTCGATCACTCACTCATTCCTCCCTGGTTAAAGCCAATTCCTCGCTTTTTTGTACGCGCCTCGATGTTCACTCTTCGAGAGGGCCCATGTTGCACCTGGTGTTAGGGGTGTTGCCGCAGCGCAGTCAGATATACCAATTCCTACCAGTCAGCATAGCCAAATCCAGGTTTACTCACCCACTTCCTCACCCACTCAAACGCCCACTCACTCACTCAGTGCAGTCACCAATCCAATTGTTACCAGTCAGCATAAATCCCTGCTTTCCCACTCTCTCGGCACGTGCAGTGAGTTGCTGTATTGCCCCTTAACCGCCACTGCTGCTTATGTTCCTCTTTATCTGTTCCTTTATGTTTCCACTTGCCTCTTGGGTCGCCCAATGTTCCTCTGCAGGTCTACGAGGCGATGGAGCAAATTATCTCCGACAACGCACAGTCCACCACAACAGTACCATCTACATCACGAGCACGTAGCGATGCTTCTTTCGGATCAAGTGGCAGGGTCCTTGGGGGTGTGGGGGGGTGTGGAATCTTGGGCGCAGGAAGCTACTCCCCCAGCGAGTCTCCCGATCGCACCAGCACCCGCAGCAGCAGCGGCGGCAGCAGCAGGATCAGGATGAGCGGAAGTAGCAGCAGCAGCAGTGGCAGCAGCGACGGCGGTGGCAGCAGCAATGATAATTTGGAAGATCCAGAGCTTTTCAGGCAGCAAGCACCCTCTGTGTGGAGCTACATGCATGGCGGGTACACTGGCCTGTCGTGTGATGGTGATGGGGATGGGGATGGAGATGGGGAAACTTTTGAGGCGGCTCAAAAGGATTCTGAGCACTTGAAACAGCTGACCCCCTCTGTGTGGACCTATATGAACAACGGCTACACTGACCTACCATGCAATGGGGCACCAGAAGCAGAGGAGGAGCCTGGTTTTCCTCACAGAAAGGCAGGGGATTCGTTTGGCTCTCTGGACAAAGAATGGGGTGACGAGTTCGTGAGCGTTTGTAAACAGTCAGGGGGTGGTGGTGGGGGGGAGGCAGAGTGTGGGTATGCTGTGGAGCATAAGGGTAGTGTGATGGGGTTTTTGAATGGTGACAGCTCGGGGAAATATCAGTGTGTGGTGCGCAGTGAGGAGGAGAGGGAGAACGTTTCAAGTGACAACTGGGCCTGCTTCTAGAATGTGCAGCCTAGAGGTTAATAGTTTGTGAACGTGGTTCTACATGTTCACCTAGTTGTGTGTCCATGCAATAAGCTCGTGAACCACGTTTTCTAGCTACTGCATTGTCACCTACGGTACATTTGTTTACCAAAATGTGCTGACGTATTGACTAAAACCACTTTCACGTATCCAGTCTCTAGATCGACATGAACTGTTGTATGTCGTGCAAATATGAAGAGCATGAGAACGCGCAAACTGCTGCAAATCATGTACCATGTTAGTGTTATTGTTCACTTGCAAAAGGAGAAATACAAAACACTCTAGAGCCCAGATCCTCCACACTCATCCCCACCTCCTCACACAACCTGAAAAACCCCTCCTCATCCTCCCTTGGGATTCTCCTGCGCCAGCTCATCACGAAGCACGGCCGCCTCAGCGCCACATCAGCAGCAGCCTGCTCCCTATATCGCTGCTGCTTCTGCATTCGCTGCCTTGCATTCCCACGGCCCTGCTCACGTGCTTTTCCCTGCGTCTGCCCTGAAGGAGAAGCTGCGTCAGCAACCATCCCCCCCACTTCCTTCACGCCAGCAGCGTCTGTTTCGCTGACCATGACACCTTTCACATCTGCTGCTGCTGCTGCTGCTGCTGTTGCTGCTGCTGCTGCTGCTGCTGCTGTTGATGCTTCTGATGCTTCTGCTTCTGTTGCTGGTGCTGCGGTCGCTGCTGCCTGACCACTTGCATCCGTTTCTCCTCCTGTCCCCCCAACAGCCTCAGAAGCAGCCAGCCCTGCCAGCGGACAACCTGCCTGCTCTCTCTCCTCAACCACACAACCTACCTCCCCCTCTCCCCTCAAAAAGGCTCTGCCCTGTGCTGCTTGAGAAGACTTCAAAGCGCCGAAGAGGAGGAAGCGGAGGGACTTGACAAGATTGGGATACTCTTTTACATCTGCAAACAAGACACGAATCACGGGGTTCACATGCATATGGTTCACATGCATATGGTTCACATGCATATGGTTCACATGCATATGGTTCACATGCATATGGTTCACATGCATATGGTTCACATGCATATGGTTCACATGCATATGGTTCACATGCATATGGTGAGTTGTGAGAGGCAACTTTTGAGGCGCCTCAAAAGCTGGGATACTCTTTCAAATCTGCAACCAAGACATGAATCACGGGGTTCCCATGCACACAGAGGGACGTGAAAAGTACACAATTGTCGGGAATCTCGTGTACTGTCTTGCCAAGATAAGATATATTTGCGCGTATGGAGAAGCAAGGGCATATAGATGCAAAAGCACGCAAACGTGTACGTACATAAAAGCGTACGTATAATGAGTTATGAAAAACATACATAACGTGTAGTAATAATGTGAACCCTGAGACAACACATGGGAAAGAATGGCACCCGGAACGACACATACAGAGCAGAACGTCGCTGGCGATGATGACATCCCATGATGGCTGTTCAATGGGGAACGGCTCTCCCCACGTGTCTGCATGTGTGCATGCATCCACGCATTCATGCATTCATGCATTCATGCATCCACGCATTCATGCATTCATGCATTCGTGCATCCACGCATTCATGCATTCATGCATTCATGCATTCACGCATTCACGCATTCATGCATTCGTGCATTCGTGTAAGGAAAATGGAGAGAATGTGTGCTGAATGAGGTTTGGTTCGACTCCAAGACGGAATCGTGGAGGCGTGTGGAAGGGAAGCAAATGGAGCGAAGGAGACAAGGAGATGTCGGAAATAACACAATCATCTCCTTATGCATGCTGACTGTGACTTTTGAGTCGACTAAAAAATCACCTCGACTCAAAAGTCACCTCAATAACACAATCATCTCCTTATGCATGCTGCTTATGCATGCTGACTGTGATTTCAATTGAGTGTGCTTACGTCGAATGTGAGGCAATGGTGGGATGCCGTTAGCCAAGCAGTTGTGGTGAATGTTGGCTGCAATGCTGGCATCGTTATAGTCACACGTGGTGATGTCACACCCCATCGCCTTGCTCAGAAAGACGGCCAGAGCGCCTGTCCCGCTGCAAGCACACTCGTTACAATCACAAAAGTGTGTGGGGTTCAAAGCTTTTGGGTTTGAGACCAAACGTTCGAGCTCAAAAGAAACAAACGTGTTACATAAACAAAAAAAAAATGGTAGCAAAGGGGGGACATTTAAGGCAATCACGAAACCCCAGCATAAACCTCCACCCCTTTCCCTTCCCCGCCCCCTTTCCCCCCTCCCCCTCCCCCCCCCCCCCCCCCCCCCCCCCCCTCCCCCCTTTTCCCCCCTCGTCCCCCCCCCCCACACATCCAAAATTAAAGCCCGCTCACCTTCCAATCTCCAAGACTCTTGCGTCAGCCAATACTTGCGGGCGGGCGGCCAGCCAATCAGCGAAGGACATGGCGCCGGGCCAGAGCAAGTTGGCGTTGACAGGATGGAAGGAGAACTCCCTTATAAGCAGCTCCTGATATAAGACCAGTGTAACGAGGTGTAGAAGAAAGGATCAATCAAGGAGCAATAAACGACAGGCCAGAGAAGCTTGGCGTCGACTGGATGGAAGGATGGCAATATATGACAAAGAAAAGACGCATCAGCAGCTGCTGAATGGGGCAGATGGGAAACCCTAAACGCGGATGGGGCAGATGGAAACCCGAAACCCGAATCTCAAGAGAAGTTCCATTCCAAGCCATACTGCTCAAACTCTCCCCTCATTGCTTCCCCCTTCCCCCCTTTCCCCTCCCCCCCTCATTCCGCCACTTCCGCCCTTCCCCACAACCCCCCTACCACCCAGCGCAGCGCACCTATCCCACCTTCCCCGCGCTTTCCAGCCAAACGCCCCCCCCCCCTCCCTCTCTCACTCCCACCGTTCTCCCTCCCCCAACCCGTTCTTCCTCTCTCCTCCCCTCTCCCCCCCAACTGTCCCCCGCCCCCCCCACCCCCTCGTTTCCCCTCCCCCTCACCGCCGCACACCTGTTCCCCCGGAAAATGATGCCGCCTCTCCTCATACTCCATTCCCTCTTCCGCCTCCCCCGCGTTCCCCGCGTCCCCCGCGTGCGCGCCTCCCCGGTCGTCTCCCCCCGCGCTGCCATTTCCCCCTTCCCCTTCCCCATCCGACCCACGAGCCCCGCCACTCCGCTCGCTTCCGCCGTCAGCCTCCGCGGTCTTCCGCGCAGCACCTGACATGGGGAAGCAGCGGGATCGGCGACGGGAACGACGACGGGTTACACGGTATCCCCACACAATTTTCGTCGCGAAGACGCACGGAGGTCCGCATGAGACGGCCATATGTCCCGGTGTACTATTACCAGCCACGCTAGATGAGTCGATCAGCCACGCGTGTGATGAGTCGACTCAAAAATCGACTATCACACGCATGAGACGGCCACATATCACGGTGTACTATTACCAGCCACGCTAGAGCAGCTGACAGGTGTTTCGGTGAAAAAATGAGAGAGGGAAAAACAACTAATCAGGATAGAAACGAAGGAAAGTAATGAACAGAGACTAGATCTGCCTTACGTGGCGAATAGTCATCGTCGCTGTCGTGTGCAAATAAGCTTCCGGCAGTAAAAATGGCGGGATCCATTTCGCGTGCGTCGCATACATGCGTCGCACAGATCGCAGTCGCATGAATGAAAAGCCGGTTTGAGCAGTGCCCAGATCCAGCCAGAAGGCAAATCGAGTCGAGATTCGTGTGTACGCAATATAAGATGTTTTTCCAAAGTTCTTTCACAATAGTAAAAAATCCCATTATAGAATTTTGAGTTTGGATTACAGACAGATAACACAAATGTTCTGTTGGGGTATGCATTACCGTGGTCCTGGTAAGTCGAATAGTCTTGAAAATAATACGAAGAAAAAGCTCACATCAAACAATTTTTGCCTACACGTTACTGGCCGTGCAAGAACGCACTGCCTGCCTAAAAGTTAGATCTAACGTATAAGCCTTGTTTTGGCTTTCCGAGAAGGGAATAACGTAGCTCCACGCCGTTGCCAGAAGCCACTTGTCATCCCCTGCCCGTTATATCCGGCTACAGTATAGTAGCTCCGTTACCCGGCTAGACACCTGTCAGTGTCAGAAAAGAACCCACTCTAAGCGGCGGTCTTAGGAGCCTTAGGAGTCTTAGGAGTCTTAGGAGAGGTGGTCGTAGGAGTCGGTGACTTAGTGGCGGGAGACTTAGTCGAGGGTGACTTAGTCGAGGGGGACTTGGAAGCCGGGGGAGCCGCGCTCGCGCCCTTGATAATGAACCCCTTAGGCTTCAGCACACGAGAAATTCCCTGCGCGACCACCGTCGGCTTAATGGAGATGTCCTTATCGAGGACAGCGGCGCCGATCTTCTCCATGCCGAACATGCCGATGCCCTTCTTCGCCTGAGTCAGCGTGATCGGCATTCCGAAGGTCGTCTGGAGCTTGCCGCCAGATGCGGCGAGAGCCTGCAGCTGCGCGAAGGTGTACGTGCCCTTCACGGCGTGGTACTTGACGACCTTAAGGAGGTCGGCGGTGGCGTATTGGGTGAGGTTGAAGTCGGTTAAAGCCTTGTCGTTGGGAACGAAAATGGTCAGGTTCTGCTGGACGAGATTCTTCAGCTGGGATTGCTTCACTGTGGTTGGAGATTCGGGGAGGAAGTGATGGGAGGGGGAAAAAGAGGGTGAGCGTTGGGTATTTGATGACATCGCAAACGCAATGTAACGAGATTTCGTGCTCGTCGAGGCCATGCTGCGACGACTGCAGCCGCTTGACTGATCTTGTGGCATCACCACATGCCGTCAGACTAGTAGTAGTTGGGAATGCGGTGACGGTTTTGGAACGAAAAGACAACTGATCGTCAGCGAGACTAATGCGAAACTCGTGTAGGTGTACTTACGAATTGCGCCGACGAGCGAAGCGAAGGCCTTGTAGCCGGGTTTCGCCTTGACGACGGTGATCGCGTCGTTCAGGTTCTTCTCGTACAGCGTCATCTTCGGCGCTGCCTCCAGGGGAGTAACCACCGCAACGACGAGGACCGCCAAAAGCGCGAGAGATAGGAACCTGGCCATGGCTACAGACTGCGAAGTATTTGAAGGAAGGAAGGAAAATCTGCGGAGTTGGACAAAAGATGGAAGCCAAGAATGAGTCTGCGGTAGAAATGGCAGGGAGAACTGAATCTGGCTGGAGAGCTAAGGGATTTGAACTGGACAAAAGATGGAAGCCAAGAATGAGTCTGCGGTAGAAATGGCAGGGAGAACTGAATCTGGCTGGAGAGCTAAGGGATTTGAACTGGGTAGGACTTGCAACCTCAGCTGAATGACTGTGCTGCGACATCCATGGCTATTTGAACATCTGACTTTCTCGCCAACTGGTGACGGTGGTGTGCTGCTCTGCTGGATCGAAAACCAAAACCATGAAAATTCGCGCGGCTCCAACTCCACGCCTCCAACATTTTCAATTTTGCGCGGCTCGAAAAGTTTTCGGTTTGGTGCATCTGTGGCTTGGGGATCGCCATCGTGGCTTGGGTGTGGCGGCATTCTCGAAACGCATATGTTTTGTCGGTCAACAAGCCAGCCCTGTTTGACATTATATGATATGCATTAGCAGCCTCAGTGCAGGGCAGATGGAAACCATAAACTCGAATCTCAAGCGAATTGAGATGTCTCAAAACTGAATCGGGCAGATGGAAACCCGAAACCCGGGAAATGATGCCGCCTCTCCTCGTGCTGTACCTTTTTTCCTCTCCTCCGACCGACTCCATCCCGAGCTCCGCCAAACCGCTCGTTTCCGTCACCCTCCCCCCCCGCGTCAGCCCCTGCAGAAATCCGAATCCTCGTTGTGATCCTAGTTAGGGCAACGTCAGCGTACATTTCTCACACGTTTACAGTTCTTGTATCATGGCTCAGGACGGTTCCGCACGGTTGAAAGTGGTTCGAACAGTTCACCGTTTTGCACCTTGACGAAACGAAGTTGACCGCAGTGAGCGTACAGAAAACGTGGAATAGAACATCCGAGAGGGCTGCTGTTAAGGTAGGTGCTGTGCGTTCAAAAGCTTTTTGTTTAGCAATGAGAACGGTGAATGAAAAACTGCGAGATCCTACCACGAACGGATACGTTACGGCGCAGATAACAGGAACTAGCGGAAACACCAGAAGAAACCAACCACATTTAGATTAAAAAATGTGATTCAAAACATGATTACGGGATTGGATTTTTTCGTTGTGAAATAAAACGAACAATAAATAAGATGTGGCTGTGCAACAAAGCACTGCCTGCACGTTATCGTCTACATCTAACGTATAAGCCTTATTTTTATGGCTTTCCAACAAGGAATTTCCGTAACTCCAACACCGTTGTCAGAAGCCACGTGTCTACGGCTACAGTATAGTAGCACCATTCCCCGGCTCGACACCTGGCAGCGTAAGGGGAGAACCCTCTTCTCAAGCGGTGGTCTTAGGAGTCTTGGGAGTCTTAGGAGAGGTGGTCGTAGGAGTCGGAGACTTAGTCGCGGGGGACTTAGTCGCGGGTGACTTGGAAGCCGGGGGAGCCGCGCTGGCGCCCTTGATAACGAACCCCTTAGGCTTAAGCACGCGGGAAATTCCCTGCGCAACCACAGTCGGCTTAATGGAGATGTCCTTATCGAGGACAGCGGCGCCGATCTTCTCCATGCCGAACATGCCGATGCCCTTCTTCGCCTGAGTCAGCGAGATCGGCATTCCGAAGGTCGTCTGGAGCTTGCCGCCAGATGAGGCGAGAGCCTGCAGCTGCGCGAAGGTGTAGGTGCCCTTCACGGCGTGGTACTTGACGACCTTGAGGAGGTCGGCGGTGGCGTACTGGGTGAGGTTGAAGTCGGTAAGCGCCTTGTCGTTGGGAACGAAGATGGTCAGGTTCTGCTGGACGAGATTCTTCAGCTGGGATTGCTTCACTGTGGTTGGAGATTCGGGAAGAGGAAGGGAGGAAGGGGGAGGAAGTGGGAGAGGTAAGGACAAGAGGGGATATAAAATAAAAGACGGTCAGGAAGTTAGGATTAAGGTTGGGAATGGGACGACTTCGCAATGTAACGAAATCTCGTGCTGCGATGACTGCAGCCGTTTGACTGATTGAGTGGCATCACAGAAGGTGACCACGGCTCTTGCAGACGCTTCAATCACTCCGTGCCGTCACAGCAGTGACGGCTTTGGAAAAAGCGACAACTGATCGTCAAGCGAAGCCGATGTGAAACTCGTGTAAGTGGTACTTACGAATTGCGCCGACGAGCGATGCGAAGGCCTTGTAACCAGGTTTCGCCTTGACGACGGTGATTGCGTCATTTAGGTTCTTCTCGTACAGCGTCATCTTCGGCGCTGCCTCCAGAGGAGTAACCACCGCAACGACGAGGACCGCCAAAAGCGAGAGAGATAGGAACCTGGCCATAGCGACGACTGCGAAATATTTTGAAGGAAGGAAAAGCTGCGGAGTTGGACAAGAAACGGAAAGCCAAGATTGAGGCTGCGGTAGAAATGGCAGGGAGAACTGAAATTGCTGGAGAGCTAAGGGATTTGAACTGGGTCGGACTTGCAACCTTAGCTGAATAACTGAGCAACATCCATGGCTATTTGAACATCTGAGTTTCTCGCCAACTGCGGAGGTGGTGTGCTGCTCTGCCGGATCGAAACCCAAACCACGAAAAATCGCGCGGCTCCAACTCCACGCCTCCGACATTTTCAATGCGCGACTCGAAAAGTTTTCGGTTTGGTGCATCTGTGGCTTGGGGTTCGCCATCGTGGCTTGGGTGTGGCGGCATTCTCGAAACGCAGATTTCTTAGTCGGTCAACAAGCCAGAGCAAGTTGGCATCGAGTGAATGGACGAAAGGGCAAATATTGACAAAAATGAACGCAATCGGAACCCTAAACTCGAATTTGAAGAGACAAGACGTCTCAAAAGTAGATCGGGCAGATGGAAACCCGAAACCCGAATCCCAAGAGTTTTTCTGGAACGTACTCCTCAACTCTCCCCTCCACCCCCCACCTCCCCCTACAAGTCAAAGCTCTTTCTATTCAGCGCGCCCTACGCAGATTCGTACCAACCCCCTCTGAGGAAGTAGCACGTACCCTGACCCCGTTCCCCTTCGGGTTACACGGTCTACTCTCTCATAAAGACATCCTCGAACGGGACTATCTCCCCACATTCATTCCCCCTCGGGCGCTGGACGAACTTAAAACCTTCCTCTCCCTTCCCCTGGTCATTCATGCCCCCCCCTACGCATGCAGTGCATCCTCACCGAACCTATCGTCTTCAACCACTCGTTCCTCAAACCCGACACACGACCCTTCGGCACCCGCCAACACGAACGCTTCCTCCTTACAGGGCAACTCCGCATCGGACACATTGTCCGAATCACCAACTCTCATGTCGGCCCCATCTCTGTAGAAGACTTCTGCTCCCAAGTCCCGGAGGAATTCCACGAAGGCGCAACACGTATCCTCCCAGACCTTATCAAAGCTATCAAACCTCCCTGGTGGGCCGCCCTCCTAACCCCACACGCCTCTTCTGCCTCTCCTGGAGACTGGTTCATGCCTTCGGACGACTATTATTCCATCTCTCATCTCGCCCTCCAAACTGTCGCCTTTATCCCCCCCTCCTCCGTCTCGGCTACTGTCCACCATGTCTCGCCAAACAAGCGCATCGTCCGCACCCCAGCAGTCACCAGACTCTTTCGCTTACAAGACCTCGTGGAGGTGCACGTCAGGGACTGGTGGCTCGCAGGGCCACTTCATACAGGGGCATGGTTGGGAGCTAGGGTGTCAGAATCCCAACCACTAGACCATTGGGAAAAAATGGCTTGTTAAGTAGCGGGTCAATGCGCCCATAACCCCCCAGGACAATGAGCCTGTAACCCTTCACTAGGATCAATCGGGGATCACCAGTGGACCTCTGACACCCCCCCGCACTGGAATGCCCGAAATGCACGCACTGGGATTCGAACTCGAGACCTTCGCTCTGATACCATGTCAGAATCCCAACCACTAGATCATTGGGATAAAAAGGCTTGTTAAGTAGCGGGTCAGTGCGCCCATAACCCCTCAGGACAACGAGCCTGTAACCCTTCCTTAGGATCAATCGGGAATCACCAGTGGACCTCTGACATAGGGTAGAACTTCTCCAGGATGGCACCCCCAGCATCACCGACATCCGTCGTCTCCTCTACTCAGCACAACCGCTAACGCATCACCTCCGTTGGACCCGCGACCTCACCCTTCCTCCTCCTCCTCTCCCTGGCCTTAAGGATTCATTTCTCAGGGACCAGCCGAGCCGCCAGCGGGAAACCCTTTTCAGACTTTACACACTCATCCTTCCCTCAGGGTCACGCTTCCAGTACTTCGATGACCGGGGAATATGTTATCGATGCCCAGCTGCCGTCGTCGAGACACTGCCGCATATCTTATTCGAATGTTCCTCCGCCATAAATGTCATCTCGGCCCTCCGCACAGTCGCTGACCGTCACCTCGGACAAACCACCACCGCCGAGCACATATTCTTCCCGATACAGTCACGGGTGGGACAGTCCCCCCCATGGAACCTACTAGTGGGAGCTGCAGTTAAGACGCTGTGGAATGCTCGCTGCGCCCACAAGCACCACAACTCCTCCTCCTCGAGCTTCGAGATACTGCAGCTGATACTAGCCCAATTCCTCATCGCCTTCAAGATTTATATGTGGAGAAACAGGCGCCAATATACCAAGAAGCGACAACGCACAACTTCCAGCATCAAGCGAGCACATAACCTCCGCTTCCTCCTCTTTGACAGGAACGGTACACCCTCCATTCACCCCGACCTCAGATTCTCATGGCTTCTGAGAAACCCGTTCCGACCCCCGTAGACAGCTACCGCATAGAGCGTCTCCCCAGTCTGCTGGCGGTTGTCCTTTAGGACAAAGAAGTGTGCTCCACGTGCTCTTTATAGGATGTTGGCCATCTCGGCCATGTTTCTAGATAGCTCTATGGTATAATTTATGTACATTGATTACGATCAATATATAACCTTAACCTTAACCCCCCACCTCCCCCTATCACTCCACCTTTTTTTCCCTCGTTTCCCCTGCCTTCACACCTCCCCCCTCCCATCACGAATTCCCTCCCTCTTCACTCAGCGCCTCCCTCTGGCCTCCTCCCAGGTCGTCTTCCCCCGCGAGCCAATTCTTTTTTTTTCCCCCTCCCCCGACCAAATCCAGTTCGTTTCCGTCACATCCCCGTCAGCCCCTGCAGTACGCGAAGAACCTGAAACGGACGATCAGAGAGTAGAAAAGCAGCGGGATCGGTGACGGGAAATAGTAACCCCACCACGAAGACTAGTTGTGATCCTCGTATAATACCATTAACTCGCTTTGGTATCGAGAGCCCCGTTACGGTGTATTCGTTACGGCGCAGCTAACAGGAATGTTAGCGGAAACACGGTTACAACCATAAGTAATCAACGCCCAGGCCCAGGCCCAGGTCTTCCCGCCACCTGCAGACATTTGGGACGATTTGGTGCGGTTGTTACACGGATCCACGTCTGGAAACAGGGTATCAGCGGCGAAAGGGTTCTTCCTATGGAGCAGAGTGCTGCTGTATACCACGAGAGCAGCGGGCGGAATCGGGGTAAGAGACCCGGAGATTGTTATTACATGTCTGGCGGCGAGAAGGGCGGGGTTGTACATCACGGAGAGCAACAGTCTTAAAAAGGACCTGATGGAGCGGGCGGCGAAGCTTCCTCTGGGAGCCGAGTCTTTCGGGGCCCATGAAAAGTTGTTTAAACACTGGGAAGGCGGCAGCACCCAGTGGAAACAGACGTGTGAGAGCCTCTCCGGCTCGCCACTGTGTTTGCGTGCCCCGGCTACATAAAGGGTGGAGATCCTGCAGGAAAAGGTTGTTTTCAACAAAAGCATACTGCTGCGCGGCACCACACCGATTGGTGGGCAGAAGGACGCCGGGAAGCTGTGGGACGTGCGTCTATGCGATTTATTCACGGAGAATGATGCCGGGGAGTTTGTCACAAAAATCCGTGGCGGAACTGACGGAGCATCTGGGCAGCAGCGGCCCTGCGAAGTTAGCGCTAAGGGCGGTGGGAGCTCTCCCTGCAAAGTGGTGCAGGGAGCTGGGGTTTCCGATTGTGCTCCCTCGCTCGGCTGACTCTCCACAATAGTTGCAAATCCTGGAGGATGGGCGCATCATTTCCATGAAGCGGATGAGGGAGGGGTGGAAGGAGGCCCGGAACTGTCATACAAGCGCGCAAAATGGGCGGCACGACGGGGAGGAGACATCAACTGGAAAAGGGTTGTGAGCACGCGGGACTCTTTGGCAGTTCCCAGCCGTCCACGTGACGTGCTCATCCGGATCCACGGTCTAAATTTGCAGGTAGGGGAGCGACTGGCTTTCCTCAGCAGCAAGCCGGTTTGCCCGTACTGCGGGGAACCTGAGACACTGGAGCACTGTTTGGTCCTCTGCCCCAGGATTCAAGTGGTTTCCACAGCTCTTCGGCGCGCTCTGGGCATGCTGAATCCTGGCCGCACGATGGACTTGCTTGGTGATCTCCTGTTCCAAGACACTGGAACCAGCTCAGCTTTTCCGGAGCTGACGATAACGTCAATTGCACTGCACCAGTTGTGGCTCGAGCGGTGCGAAGCTGTCTTCAGAGGACAGAAATTCCGGACTCAACGGGTCATGAGAAGGATTGAAGTGGCCTTCCGGCAGCATGTGAAACTGTACATTCACAGGTTTGGGCTGACGTGGCGCAAGCAGAGGCAGCAGGGTTCATCGGAGGAGTGGAACATGCTTGGGAGAATCAGAATGGAAGGCAAAAGTCTGAAGTGGTCGAATAGTTTTGCTGCAATCTGGTCGGCACGGAGGGTTGGGAACATCAGACCTAGGAATCTTATCTGGAGCAAGAGGTCCCCTCTAGCTCCTCACGCACGGTTACGACCATTCTTGTCAGTATATGCTTGCTCATTCGGTGTATACTTAAAAAAAAAAAAGTAAAAAAAAAGTAATCAACACAATCTATAATTAGCAGACCACCATTTTTCAAGAGAATGGTCATTCTGTCAGTCCAAAATGTGATTCAAAATGTGACTCCGAGATCCGGACTTTTCTCTGTGACATAGGAACAATAAATGAGGACATTACATCATTTGCCTACATGTTACTGGCTGTGCAACGAAGCAATGCCTGCATGTTATCGTCTATATCTAACGTATAAGCCTTATTTGTATGGCTTTCCAACAAGGGATTTATGTAGCTCCAACACCGTTGTCAGAAGCCACGTGTCTTCGGCTACAGTATAGTAGGACCATTCCCCGGCTCGACATCTGGCAGCGTCAGGGAAGAACCCTCTTTAGCACCCTTTTCAAGCGGTGGTCTTAGGAACCTTAGGAGCCTTAGGAGTCTTCGGAGTCGTAGTCGTAGGAGTCGGAGACTTGGTCGCGGGTGACTTAGTCCCGGGTGACTTAGTCGTCGGGGGAGCCGCGCTCGCGCCCTTGATAACGAAGCCCTTAGGCTTAAGCACCCGGGAAATTCCCTGCGCGACCACCGTCGGCTTAATGGAGATGTCCTTATCGAGGACAGCGGCGCCGATCTTCTCCATGCCGAACATGCCGATGCCCTTCTTCGCCTGAGTCAGCGAGATCGGCATTCCGAAGGTCGTCTGGAGCTTCCCGCCAGATGCGGCGAGAGCTTGCAGCTGCGCGAAGGTGTAGGTGCCCTTCACGGCGTGGTACTTGACGACCTTAAGGAGGTCGGCGGTTGCGTACTGGGTGAGGTTGAAGTCGGTAAGCGCCTTGTCGTTGGGAACGAAGATGGTCAGGTTCTGCTGGACGAGATTCTTCAGCTGGGATTGCTTCACTGTGGTTGGAGATTCGGGCAGGAAAGAGGGGAAGGGGGAGGGGAAGAGAGGTAAGGAGGGATGAAAGGGGATAAAGACGGTCAGAATTAGGGTCAAGGTTGCGGATGAGACGACTCCGCATTTTAACGAGATCGAAGGCCGTGTTGCGACGGCTGCAGACGCTTGACTGATGACGGTGACGGTTTCGGGAAGGCGGGACCACTGATCGTTATGCGGAACTGAAACTTGTGTAGGCGGTACTTACGAATTGCGCCGACGAGCGATGCGAAGGCCTTGTAACCAGGTTTCGCCTTGACGACGGTGATTGCGTCGTTCAGGTTCTTCTCGTACAGCGTCATCTTCGGCGCTGCCTCCAGGGGAGTAATCACCGCAACGACGAGGACCGCCAAAAGCGCGAGAGATAGGAACCTGGCCATTGCGACGACTGCGAAGTCTTTCTGAAGGAATGAAAAGCTGTGGGATTGGAAAAGGAACGGAACGCCGAGTGAGAATCTGCGGTACAGCCGGTAGGGTTTGACCGGATCTGACTGGAGAGCTAAGGGATTAGATATGAGAAGAATTTGCAACCTTAGCTGCATGACTATGATGCAACATCCATGGCTATTTGAATGTGCGAGTTTGTTGCGAACTACCGCCAGTGGTGTTGCTGCTCGGCCCGATCGACTGATTCGGAAACCAAAACCAAGGAATTTCGCGCTGCTCTGGGGATCCACGCCTCCAGCATTTCCAATGCGCGACTCGATGTTTTTTCGATTTGGCGTTAGGGTGGCTTGGTGATCGTCGTCGTGGGTTGGGTGTGGCGGCACTCTCGAATCGCGGTTTGCTTGGTCGGTCAACAAATAAGCTAGGAATGTATGGTATGGTATGGTATGGTATGGTATGGTATAGTATGGTATGGTATGGTATGGTGTAGTTTGGTATGTGGGGTATGAAACGGTACGGTATGTTATGGTATGGTATAGTATGGTGGCTAGCACTTCGTTCAGTGAACCACTCGTCGCCCAAATGGGCGACGGCGCAAGGGGACCAACGGCACGACGAATAGAATTTTGGCGGGGTCAGTGCGAACAGAGATTCCATTTCCCTTCTTTCTCGATGCGAGAAACGGCGAAAAGGTAGAACCGCGATGCAACGTTTACGATTGGGTGCGACTTGATCAACCGACGGCGGGTTGAAGAAGGCGACTCTGGCCGACCGATCAAACGACGGCGCCACAGTGCCTAATTGGACCCAGCAGTCCTCAAAAGCGGGAACAGCTCTTGTCTGTTTAAAGCAGGAACTCGCTAAACGTTACAGCCATGTAAAGACCCACACATATTCCATTTAGGACTATTGGAGAAGAACCGCCTTTATTACTCAATACTTTATGAAAGGAATGGACACAAAAGCTGGTTGTGCATGTATCCCAACAAATGTTTATCAATTTTAGGGAGGACAAATAAAACCCTTATCCCAAACTAAGAGCCAAGTCTATGCCTTCCATAGGAGCATGGGCATGCCGTTCTTCTTCCTTAATTTGTCTATTTTGCCCCTCGCCTTGTTGCGCACTCTCCCCATAACCAACAGATGAACGAACTTCACCGCCACTGTAGCTGGCCGGTGACATTCCCAAAAACGAACCCTCCATACCACTCCCAGTCACATTCCGAGGCTCCCAAAAACAATCCGAACCACCGCCGTCTACACTTTTCCGCTTCTTTGCCGGGGACGCCGCACTTGCCCGGAGCGCATGGTTCGGAAGGGACTGAGCCAATCCAGTGTTCGCCTGGAGGGACTCAGAGTGAGCAGAGAGGAAGTGAGTGGAGAGAGACGAGGAGGAGGAGTTGCGAGGTAAGTGCTTTCGAACGGTGGAGTCATTTCCAGTGAGGCCCAGGCGGCTGGCAACGCTTCTAGTGAAAGCGGCTGACTTGTCTCCCAGAGAGAGGGTTCGCTCCAAAGCCTTTGCAATGCTGCTGCTGCTGCTGCTCGCCCCTGCACTCTCGGCCTTTCCTGATGCTTCCCCTGCTGCTGCCACCGCCACTGCTGCTGCTGCCGCCGCCGCTGCTGCCACGTCAGGTGACAGTGAGAGAGTCGCACCCAGGGTTGAAGTTCCATCTTTTGGTGTGGTTGGGGTAGTGTACGTTGGGGTGGTCTGTGTAGGGGTGGTATGTGTGGGGGTAGTCTGTGTGGGGGTGGTTTGTGTGGGGGTGGTAGACATGGCATGAGATGAGCCAATTGGTGAGGAGGATGATGGTGATGATGATGAAAGGGTGTCCCCCCAACATGCCTTGGCAGGGGGTGAGGGGAGGAGAGAGAGCGAGAAGGAGAGAGGTGGGTTGGTGCTGGCGAGGGGAGAGGGGGGTCGCGGAGGGAGGGGAGAGAGAGGGCGGTAAGGAGGGGAGACCTGTTTCTGTTGCTGCTCCTGCGCCTGCTGCTGCTTCTGCTGTTGTTGCTGCCGCTGTTGTTGCTGCTGGTACCGCAGGCTATGCTCTGCAGATCGGTAGATTGGGCTAGATAAAGGTGAGAGTGGAGAAGAGGAGGGAGCAGAGAGAGGGGAGGAGGAGGAAGGCACGAGGCCATGATTGATTCGAGGAAATGCATGCCCGGTTGAGCTCGGTGCAAAGGGGTTTCTCGTGCGAGAGGGAATGGCAAGATAGCCCACGTGTCTGCCCACGTGCCTGCCCATGTGCCTGGTGCTCCCTCTCTCTGTCCGGTGATTCAAGTGAGCGTCAAATCCCCCAGCGGCATGGGCACTCTGTTGTGCCTCCACCTTCACGCTCGCTTCAGCACTCATATGGGTATCAACGCCTGGACTGTCTCGAGCAGTCATGTGAGTGTCAACCCCTATGCTGCCCCGAGCATTCATGTGAGAGTCACTATTAGGGAGTGCTGCGCCAGATGCTGCTGCAGGAGCCTGCTGTGGTGCCACGTGTGCTGCTGCTGCCAGGATGGCGCGCAGTGCTGCCTGCTCCGCTGAACCCGAAGCACCATACGCAGCAGCAGCACCAGCAGTAGCAGCAGCAGCAGCAGCAGCAGCAGCAGCAGCAGCAGCAGCAGCAGCATTAGCAGCAGCATTACTTGCACTAGAATGATTACCAAAGGCAGCAGCAGAAGAAGCAGCAGCAGCAGCAGAAGCAGCAGAGGTGGGAGCGGAGGGAGCAGCAGATGCAGGTGATTCCCTGTCACAGGCCTTGAGAGCCTCTGCTACGAGCACTGCTGCTGCTGCCTCTGCCTCGGCTACCAATGTCTTAGCCGCTGCTATAACTGCTGGCAACACTGCTGCTGCTGCTGCTGCTGCCGCTGCAGGTTCGGGTGCTGCTGCTGCTCCTGCTGCTGCTACTGCTGCTGAGGCTTCCCCTCTTCTCTCTCCGTCTCCTGCGGCTTCTGCTGCTGCTCCCACTGATCTGCTCTCTGACATGGCGGATAAGGCTGCTGACAGGGCTGCCACGTTGCCAACGGCTATTCCCAGCTGTCCCACGCACTTTGGAAGCTTCCCAGCAGCTGCGATATACTCTGCCATGGTGGGCCAGAGAGCGGGCGGCACGAGTGACATCAGCGGATCACACGATTGGCCGGTTCCTTGAGATATTTTAGGCAGCAGCGTCGCTGTCAGGGATGGTGAGAGTTTTGATGGTGTGACTGTATTGGCATTGAGTGTAGAGGGGGTGAGTTTTGCCGAGAGTGTTGTAGTGTGTGTGAGGTGTTGGGGTGTGTGCTGCGTTGCACCGGATGCTGCTGCTGCATGAGGCACCCTCAGAGGAGTGAAACCAGGAGCAACAGCAGCAGCAGCAGAAGCAGAGGGAGCAGAGGAGGAGGAATGAAGCAGGGAGAGCAACCAAGCAGGAGGGGCCACACCCCCCATGCTACTGCTGCTGCTGCCGCTGGTGCTTCCCTGAACCACGCCAATCTCAACGCCGGCTGTAGCTGCCGTGGTGAGGGGGGTTGTAGCGCTGCGGCTGATGATGCTGTTGCTTGCCGGACCAGACGGGTGAGTGGCATCCCTGGGGGCATTGGCACCACCTGTTGCTGCTGCTCCGCCTGGTGCGGTTACTGTGCCTGTTGGGGCTGCAGCGGCTGTGGCGACTGCAGTGTTTGTAGCAGCGGAGGTATTTCTTCCTTGTTGGAGGGATGCCATCAGTAGTGACAGAAACTGCTGCTGCTGCTGCTGCTGCTGCTGCTGCTGCTGCTGCTGCTGCTGCTGCTGCTGCGGTCGGTGCTGCTGCTGCGGTTGGTGCTGCTGCTGCGGTTGGTGCTGCTGCTGCGGTTGGTGCTGCTGCTGCGGTTGGTGCTGCTGCTGCTGTTGGTGCTGCTGCTGCTGATGATGATGCTGCTGTTGCTGCTGCTGCTGCTGCTGCTGCTGTTGCTGCTGCTGCTGCTGCTGCTGCTGCTGCTGCTGCTGCTGCTGCTGCTGCTGCTGCTGCTGCTGCTGCTGCTGCTGCTGCTGCTGCTGCTGCCGTTTCTGCTCTTGCTGCTGCTGTTGATCCTGCTGTTCCTGCTCCTGCTCCTGCTGCTGCTGCTGCTGTTGCTGCTGCTGTCTCTGCTGCAGCTGGTGCAGCTGCTGCTGAAGGCTGAGAGCCCCTTGCGCCCTCTGTCCTATCGTAACAGCCCCTCCTGTCTCACCGATTCTCCCCATCCTACCGTCGATACCAACACCAGCAGTAGCAGCAACACCACTACCGACAGCACCACCTGCACCAGCAGCAGCGCCAACAACAGCAGTAGCGGCAACGTCAGCAGCAGTATCACCAGCAGAACCACTGGTAGAAGAATCACCCTCCCCCACTCCCCCTCCCTCCTCCATCCTCACATCTTCTTCTGCACCACCGCTATCAGGCTCGGCGGCACCACCAGGCTCGGCACCACCCGCCTCGGCACCACCAGGCTCGGAAACACCAGGCTCGGCGGTGCTGGTTCGGAGGCGGAGGCGTCCAGCGAAGGTGGAGGGTGGGGGATGGTTGTGAGAGTGGCTGTAGGTGATGCGAGCCAAGGCCGGGTCGAAGGGCATAGATGGATCGACGTCGACGACTTTACGGGCAGGGCATCTAAAGCCCGCTCTTCCCTTCTCCCCGCTGGCTTCGCCACACTTGTAGTAGGCCCTGTTGATTCAGAGAAGGAGAAAAGGGGGAGGGAGAAGGTGGGGAAGGAGCTGTGAGGGGATGTTGTAGGTGATGCGAGCCAAGGCCGGGTCGAAGGGCAAGGAAGGGTCGACGTCGACGACTTTACGAGCGGGAAGCCGGCTCTTTGAGACGTCTCAAAAAGCTCCTCATATCACGTGGCAAGGAGGGGTCGACGTCGACGACCTTTACAAGCTGGACACAGGAAGCCGGCTCCGCTTGAATGGTGCTTGAATGGAAGGGGGAAGAGAGGGGGAGGAGAAGGTGGGGAGGAGAAGGCTGTGGGGAGAAGGTGGGAAAGAGAAGGTTGGGAGGTGCTTTGAGTGAATGTAAGTGACTAGAGCCAAGGCGAGGTCGAAGGGCAATGAAGGATGACACCTAAGCCGGCTAGGTGACTTTTGAGTCGACTCAAAAGTCACCTCGAAGGGCAATGAAGGATGACACCTAAGCCGGCTCTTCCCTTCTCCCCCCATGCTTCACCGCACTTGTAGTAGGCTCTGCTTGAGTGAGAGGGAGAGGGGGAGAGAAGGAGGTGGGGAGGAGAAAATAGGAGAGGGGTTGTGAAAGGATGGGAGTTACGTCACGTTGTGAAAGGATGAGACTGTCGACGACACCGGAAACCGGATCTGCCCTTCTCTAAGCTGGCCGCTCCACATTTGTAGTAGGCTCTGTTTGGAGGAAGGGGGCGCGAGGGGAGGTACTAGGTGTAGCTAGGTCAAGCCAGCATGGGGTGACGGTTCTATATTAATGAGTTGGTTTATAGTAGCAGTAGGAGGTGGTGGAGTCAACATTGCGCCTGCCCCCACTCTTCAGTGAATTTCTGCTGGGGGAATAGGCTCTGGGGATGGGAGATGAAAAAAGAGAAGGAACCTAGAAAGAAAGAAAGAAAGAAAGAGAGAGAGAGAGAGAGAGAGAGAGAGAGAGAGAGAGAGAGAGAGAGAGAGAGAGAGAGAGAGAGAGAGAGAGAGAGAGAGAGAGAGAGAGAGAGAGAAAATGATGGGTGGCCCCAACTCATGATGTGAAAGAATAACGAGCCTCACCGTTTTTTCCTCGTATATGGAAGGCTCTTTGATACGTTTAGGCTCTTTACATTTCTTAACCGTTTCCTTCTCCGCATGTTGTCAACGTAGCAAACACTTTTGAGCGACATTTTATCGCCTCGCCGGCGCACGAGCCAATCAGGGAATGTAGCGTCAAAATCATGAGCACAATCAGTTCTTTGCGACGGTTACCACCACGCGAACCCCCAGAAAGGTGACCGCGTTTCGCAAAAAAAAAAAAAAAAAAAAAAAAAAAAAACGAAAATCTAATTCGTTCCGTTATGGAGACTCAAGCCGCTTGAAATACAAGGAGTCTACGGCAGACTCTGCGCGTTTCCCGCAGCTCAAACGCGAGTCAACGTGCGCCGGTATTACCTTCTCACAGAAACCGGGTCGCCAATCTTCGACAGAACTTTCTCGCCGTATTTCAGCCAGTGGTAACCGTCCGCCGCGACCAGACTCATCAGCGCCATTTTTCGCAGAATCAGCTGCGGCTCGTCAACGGCGTTGGAGCCATTTGCGGCTGCTTCCAGGGAGGGTGAAGTCTGCTCTCCTTCTGATCCGCTGGCAGCCGCAGGGAGCGCCGCGACTGGCGGAGCCAGCGCCATTGGACGAGAGATTGGACTAAACTGCGTGCTGGTAGTACTACCTCGGCTGAACTCAGAAGTATGAGGGAATTATTCTTGTGGGCTTGCTGCAAAGCACTGCGTTGATTACTTGCAAGGTCCTACTAGCAAGACTTCAGGGTCTACTGAAAGTTCGGAGCATGCCAGGAAAAAACTGCTTGCACTGGTGTTGGTTGGTGCAATGCTTGCAAATGCGTCAAGATCTCACAGGACAGGACTCGGAGGCGCGATATTGAAATTCGCAACAGTATCTGATCGTGACGTGTTGAATCAGGTTCGCGCGGTGCTGCAAGCACGAGGACGCAGTCAGTACAGAAACACGACGACACGACGTGAATCTCGATTCCCTATGGAACGCAGATCCTCCGCGTCGCCAACAATGGAACGTGGGGGTGACTGAAGATAGTGCCATCCTTTGCCGTACAATACACCAACCTGGATAACATTCAACCTGCATCCCAGGTCAGTCCGTCAGTGAGTTTGACAGCAGCTCGCCCACAGTAGCTTGAACTGGTTCTCTCAGGTCAGGTGGGGTCTTTGCGTAAATAGCTGGACCTCGATCTGTAAATGATCAACAATATCCTTTGGTAACATGAAAAGGCGCACACTACTGAACCTATTGATTAAAAGTATCAATAGAAGTCTCCACCAGGAAGTTGAGAGTGGTTGCGGCGCTGAAACTGGAAAGTGGGCAGTTTAAGGCTACCTTTTTTTCCAGGCCAATATATCAATTTCGTGCTCACTTGCGCTTGTGACCCGCAAATTACGGGGTATACAAGCCACGCAGGTAATGAGAACTGAAGTTCAATCAATGTTTATGTCTGTATTCTGTCCTTTTTGTTCCCACCTACAGTAGTTTGGCATCTTTCTATGGCATGGGTACACGTACAGTGTTCTGTCAGAGCTACAGTGCAGTTTCATGAAAGTGATCACGTGGAAAACTCTAGGCTCGCGAAAATCACAACGTGGGGTCACTAAGAAACACGGTCCTCCTCGTCCGCTATCAAATCCTTTGCGACGCGTCCGTCGGCTATTGCACCCCAACCACCCTGAACTGGACGTTCAATATCTGATGTGACAGAATAAAACGTTGAGACTTAGCAAGGTACTCTATCACTGTTGTTCCGTAAAAGGACTACACTATATTTGATAAACACCGAAAATGCCACTTATTGATTACAAAGCTGGAAAGACTGTTGGTGGACTTTTGTTTACACTTCCCACTCGGAATCAACTTCTTGGGCTGGTCCAGAAGTGAATAGCGCCTGCAGCATTTTTGCAGGTCTTTCGGTTCCATCACGGAACTTCGAAACTGTACAGCACCAAGAAGTAGGTGAATGACAGAAAACGACATCGTCTTCCAATTGCCAAAAACTCAGTGCCGTACTCAGCTACAGTTCACAACAGCCGGCGATGTACAGTATCATGACATCCCACCCACCCAGCCGACCCAGCCCCCGCTGCGAAACACAGTTACTGTAATTCCACCGTCGCCCACCATAACATCTTTCGACCAAATGTACTTACAATATCTTTACGAGGCCAGTTTCTGAAGCAAGGTGGAAACCGAAGAGCTTCTTGCCGGGTACATGTCTCGCCCTTGGAAATCTGTGATCATGCCGTAGCCCATTGGCGCCACAAATGCCGCAATAACCTGGATAGCGATGTATCGCTCCTGCGAATTCCATGCATAGCAAGCAACTCTGTTTCGCAGCTGAGCTAGCTCGTGAATGCCATAAACACCGTCGTGTTAGGATGGGATCATCTTGAATGGACTTTATCGCACGCGTCGCACGATAGCTCGTTTCCTGTCGCTTCAGCTTCGCGAAAGTTGGACGCCGATTAATTCCTTCCGCGTTTCTTGCTAGCCCGTTTTTTTTTCCTCAAATAACGCCGTGACTATGATGGGCTCGTCATTGCAGCAGAGCTCCCGAACCTCCCTTTCGCAAAGTCACGCCGAGCGCGACCCGTTACAGTCACATCGGGAAATCGAGGCGCTCCGATGCGTGCTCCCGTGGCTTCCACAGCGCGATCTGTGCGTCGCAGCGTGCGCGTGCAGGGAGCTGAGAATCGCCGCGTATCAGCCTGCGTTGTGGAAGGTACCATCCCCGCCTTAGATCGCTTGGATAATGCGAGCGAACGTGACGAGCGAACGTGATCGCCTTAGAATAAATATTAATATTTAAAGAAACGCTCGCGATAATTATCAATTGTGATCATCAACCAGTCGTGCTAGTTAAACTCCAATAGTTGGATTTGTCAAGGCTTGAACCACACGGCCTCTGATGAGGAACTCTGTCTCCGCCGCCTTTGCCGTCTCCCCCTCCTCTGCTCTCTCCGCCATATCCGCCGCGTCCGCCGCGTCCGCCGCTTCCGCCGTCTCCCCCTCCCCGTTCTCTCCGCCGTCTCTCTTCTCCCTTCAACCCCGTTTTGAACCCTCTCCCCCTTAAACCCTCGCTCTGCCTCCCCAAACCCTCTTCCCCCGCTAAACCCGAACCCCTGTTTGGAGCAGTCTCTTTCCCTGCAAGGCGCCACTAACGCCAGTGCGAGGCTCGCTCAGGGGCGCTTTATCAAAGGCGCATAAGAGATAGACACCTTTCTTTCCCCCTTTTGCCCCTCCCCCGTTCCGCCCCCCTCCCCCCATTCCCCCCCTTCTGGAGCAGTCTCTTTCCCTGCAAGGCGCCACTAACGCCAGTGCCAGGCTTGTTCAGGCGCTTCCGCAGGTGTGTGTGGGGTCGGGGCTGAGGGGGAATGGTCCTATGGGGGTGCGCAGGGAGGGGAAGGGTACGAGGCGCCCTGCAAGGCGCCACTAACGCCAGTGCCAAGCTCGCCCTTGCTCTTCCACAGGTGGGCTGGCAGGGTGAGCGATGCGTAGGGGAGGGGAGGGGCGGGCGGGGGGAAGAAACGGGGTGGGCAGGGGGAGACAGAGGCGCCACGAAAGGCGCCACTAACGCAAGTGACATTCTCGCTCAGGCGCTGTCAGGCGGAGGGGTCTATAGGAGGGGGAAGGGGGGGGCGGGGGGTGCGCAGAAAGGGAAGTCCACGGGGAATGGGGGGGGGTATTGCGCGTGGGGAAAGGGTTGGGGGGTTGGGGGAAGAGTGCACGGGGTGGGGGAGTGGGGGGGTGGGGAAGAAAGGTTCCGGGGGTTGGTGGGGGGGTGCGCGGGGGGAGACATTCATCTCGAGCTGTTCAAACTGTATAGCCTACTCGCCTGTCTTCTCCTCCCTCACTTTCCCCTCTGTCCCTCTTGATCCCCCAGCCTTGTCTCTCTCGCCTAGGGCCTTGCAATCTGGAATTTGCCAAGCCAATTACCGCCACAACCGTAGAAGCACATCGTAACATTGCTCGTTCCTCCCTCTGCCCGCTTGATCCCCCAGCCTCGTCTCTCTCACATCCGGTTTTCTTCCGCCCCTCCGTCTCTTGCTCTGCCGCTGCTCTCCCTGCTTGATTCCCAGCCTCGATTCGCTCACCTGGAGCATCTGAATCTGAAAATCGCATCTGCTCCCCTCCCATCCCTCGGTTCTTACTCCGTTCCTCCCTCTGCCACTCGGTGTTCCGCTCTTTTTCTCACTCTCTCCCCTCTTGAGCCCCCAGCCACGATTCGCTCACCTGGAGCATCTCAATCTGGAGTTCGCCCAGCCAATCACAGACGCGGATCTGCTGCTGCTGGAGGGGAAGGTGGGTGCGTGCGTGTGAGGTGGTTGAGAATTTTCAAAAGCACGCCTGCAACAACAAGGGCTGGTGGCATGTGAGGGTTTTGTTTCCCTTTGCTTGAGCAAAAGTTGTGATGTGTGTCACATTTGAGAATCCTCCCCACTCCGTGTTTATCTTAATAATTGTGAATGTTCTTATTTCTCTCCCTTGCAGCCCCTCGTGTCTCTCAATCTCAACGCCTGCCAGCAAGTCACGGACCAAGGGGTCACCACTGCTGCCAAGCTGCTGACTAACCTCCGCTCCTTCTCCCTCTACTGGAACCTCAGGTGAGTTCTCCCTTCCTCCCTCCTCCCACCCTCCCTTCCCTCTGCTCTTTTTCTAATGCGACCTGGGCTTGCCGTCTCCCACTGCTGCTAAGCTGCTCCCAAACCTCCAATCCTTCTCGGTCTACTGGAACCTCAAGTGCGTTCTCCCTCCCACGCGCCCTCTCTCTCTCCAACCCTACCACCATCCGCCTCCCCTCCTCTTTCTCAAATGCTTTCCTCGTGCCCTTCCCCCTCTGTTCCTTTCTCCCTCCCCTCCCTGCCAGAGTGAAGGGACAGCACTTGCTTCACTCAGCACTTGGTTCGGAATTGAAGCAAGTGCTGTTTCGATGCTCTCAATGTACCCTTATTTAATGCCCTGCACCCGTGCCCTATCCCCCCCGTTCCCACTCGGTGCCCCCGTCCTGCCCTCCATTCTTTTCCCCACCTCACCGCACTCCCAGGGTGACTGATTCAGGGGTGAAGCAAGTGGTGCTGCGCTGCTCCTCGTTACAGTCACTCAACCTTAGCGGATGCAAGGTAATTTTCACTCACTCGCTTTCAAGTGACTTTTGAGTCGACTCAAATGGCTCCTCGTTACAGTCACTCGACTTTAGTGGAGGAAAGGTGACGACAGAATCTTAGGACTGCAACGCTTGCGAAACATAAAATCCTGCCCGCCTAAAAAAAAAGAGGAAAAACCACTCTCTCAGTCGCTCACCCACTCACTGTCAGTCTCTCACTCTCTCGCTTGCTCACTCGCTCACTTGTTCACTCACTCTGATTCCCTCACTCAATTCCTCACTCACTCACATTCCCTTTCAGTCTCTTACTCACTCGCTGACTCACTCACTCACTTGCTTACTCACTCACTCACACTCATGCACTCACACACTCTCTCCGTCTTCCCCACCTTTGGATTTATTCAGTACCCAAACCATCTTCTCTACCACCACCACCCACCACCACACCACCCTCTCCACCCACCACCACCCCTTTCCACCCTTCTCCACCATGGCAGAACATCACCGACTCATCGCTTCGCTTCATTAGCACCTCACTTCCGCACCTCAAGTCCCTCAACCTCACTCGGTGCGTCTTGGGTCGTCTCAAGGTTTTCAAGAACGTACGAAACGTCATAAAATCTCCCCGCATAGTTGCTAGCTCATTTCCCCACGGTATTGACCTTACTCGGTGAGTCTACTGGATTGTCTGTGTATTTTGAGTTGCCTGTGTACCTGTGTGCTTGCGTGTGTGCTTGCGTGTGTCCTTGCATGTGTGCATGCGTGTGTGCATGTGTATGACCCAGCAGTTGTGTGCAAGCGACCGACACGGGTCTCAAGCACATCACAGCAGGATGCACCCAGTTGGAGGAGCTGTTGCTTTACGCCCTCTCCAGGTAACTTTTGGGTGTGCGTGCGGGTGCTTGTGCTTGTGCTTGTGCTTGTGCTTGTGCTTGTGCTTGTGCTTGTGCTTGTGCGCGTGCGCGTGCGCGTGCACGTGTGCCCACGTGCTTACGAACAGTACAGCCAGATGCACCCGTTTGGGAGTACAACTGCTTTATAAACTCTCCAGACTCCAGGTGAGTTTTCAGCTGACTTAGCAGTCTCTGTGCGTACACGCATGCGCGCATACATGTGTGCGTGTGTGAGAGCGACAGACAGGGGTGTGAAGCACATTACAGCAGGATGCCCTCGCTTGGAGGAGCTGTTGCTCTACGCGCTCTCCAGATGACTTCTGGGTTTGGAGGGTTTGGTAAAACTTCCCCGTGTGTGTATGTGCGTGTGCGTGCATGCCTGTGCTCATGTGCGGCGCAAATGTGCGCGTGTGCGTGTCCCCCGACTCCCCTCACTTTCGCCAGCTTCACAGACGTGTCCAACCATCGTGCAGCTATCCCAGCTGCGACTGCTTGTCCTGCACGCCTCTTCCGTAAAATGTCTCCACTCATCCCCCTCCCTCCCCTCACACCCTCACCCCCCCACTCCCCTCTACCAACCAGCTTCACAGACGAGTCTCTGGCAACCATCGGGCAGCTATCTCACCTGCGAGTGCTTGACTTGTGTGGCATGAAGGTATGAAGGTATGAAGGTATGAAGGTATGAAGGTATGCATGTAGAAGCCGGGCTTTACATTCTTGTTTTCCGATAGGCGCCTAAAAACAATATGCCGGGCTTTACATTCTTGTTTTTTTCGTTTATCGCAGCATGCGCGTAATTTCTGGGCATTTAAGCATGATCGTAATTGATGAAAACGTATCTCTTCTAGGGACTAACGAGCATAGTGGAGAAACATCAAAAGCACTGATCCTCATTTACACGTATCTCAACCTCTCCTCGCTATCACACCTGATCTCCGGTCTATCCCATCCCTCTCCATTCTATCACATCTCTCTGCTCTTCTTACTGTCCTATCACTCCTCCCCATCAGCATCTGACGGACCAAGGACTGGAGGGCATCTCACGCTGCTCTAACCTCATATCTCTCAACCTCTCCTGGTATGCTGCTTGTCATGTGATGACTATGGTGTGTTACCTATTCCGTTTGTACTTCACTGTATACGGTGTTTGTGTATGGAGAAGTATAATTCCTTTCAGAATTGGCCTCACCTCGTAAAATCCCTTAACCTCTCCTGATATGTTGCTTCTAGTGCCCTGCCTGGTTGTATGTTTCTTCTGGTGTCGCTTCTTATTATGCACTCCTTGCTTTGTCTGTATCTTACCTCCAGGTGTGTGCTTATAACGGATCAAGGCCTCATCAAACTGGCATCCTCCTGTCATGATCTCGAGCTATTGAGGTATGCTTCTTTGAGTGAATCGCTAAACCATGTCCACATCTCGATTTTGGGGTGCCTAGGATCCCACATTCCCCAACCACTCCATACAAACAACCCTCGCGGCTCCCCCCATGGCCCTTCCCCACAACCCCTCCCTCCCCGTCTCTCCCAGTCTGCGAGGCATAAGAGGGTTTTCAGATGCGACCATGTCTGCCCTTTCAGATTCTTGGCTCCCCTCCCCATTCTTCAAACCCCCTTTCTCTCCCCACCCGACCCCCCGCCTCTCCCAGTCTACACGGCATAAGGGGGGTCACAGATGCGGCCATGTCTGCCCTCTCTGCCTCCCTTCCCCATTCTTCCAATCCCTTCAATTTCCCACCTCTTTCCCCCCCACACGCATTCCTCCCTTATCTCCCAGTCTGCACGGCATAAGGGGGGTCACAGATGCGGCCATGTCTGCCCTCTCTGCCTCCCTTCCCCATCCTTCCAATCCCTTCAATTTCCCACCTCTTTCCCCCCCACACGCATTCCTCCCTTATCTCCCAGTCTGCACGGCATAAGGGGGGTCACAGATGCGGCCATGTCTGCCCTCTCTGCCTCCCTTCCCCATTCTTCCAATCCCTTCAATTTCCCACCTCTTTCCCCCCCACACGCATTCCTCCCTTATCTCCCAGTCTGCACGGCATAAGGGGGGTCACAGATGCGGCCATGTCTGCCCTCTCTGCCTCCCTTCCCCATTCTTCCAATCCCTTCAATTTCCCACCTCTTTCCCCCTCACACGTATTCCTCCCTTATCTCCCAGTCTGCACGGCATAAGGGGGGTCACAGATGCGGCCATGTCTGCCCTCTCTGCCTCCCTTCCCCATTCTTCCAATCCCTTCAATTTCCCACCTCTTTCCCCCCCACACGCATTCCTCCCTTATCTCCCAGTCTGCACGGCATAAGGGGGGTCACAGATGCGGCCATGTCTGCCCTCTCTGCCTCTTCCCGTACCTCCCTGCAAACATTGGACGTCAATGGCAGTGTGGGAATACAGGTAAGGCCTAAAAATGCTTGTGCCTATCTTGTGCATTAGTCGACTAGAAAAGTGCCCTCTCTGCCTCTTGCCGTACCTCCCTGCACACATTGGACGTCAATGGCTGCGTGGGAATACAGGTAACATCCCAAACCATCGTTTTCAAGCACCTTTGTTGTCCTTGTTTCGTTACAAGCAGTTGCTCTGATTGTACAACCAATACTTTTTTGTGGACGTATTCGTGTTCTCTTGCGCAGGGTCGTTCTCACGACCAGCTGAACCTGCTTTTTCCACGGCTCACGTGTTTCACCGTTCATAAATAGAGCTGATATATACAGTACATGATATTGGAAGATGTTTCTAGTCTCCGAGTCACAAGTTGCATGCTCCATTGTAAGGCATGAAATTTGACATGCTTTATCTAACAATTCTGTGCCCTACCTACATGAACTGGTTACTTCTGTACTGGTAATGTTTACAGATGCTTAATGTTCAATGTCCATCTGTTTCAAAGGTGCTATATATCAGGAATGGTTGGGAGCAGTTTTCTCAAAGCACTTCCTTGACTCCATGCTCCAACAAGTTACTCTTTCAACCAAGTCTTACCGTATGTATATGGCTTGTACAGTGTCATACGGTATATGCAATGTATTGTGAAAGGTTCCGTCTTTCCACCTTCCCATCCACCCTCTCAGTGCACCAAACATCATCAAATGAGAGAAGAGCTTCGATTAAAGAGAACAACTGTGCATACCCCAGCATCTCAGAGCAATTAAACGATCCACAAACATTCCACCGTAGTATATCAATTAACTGCCTCCCAACAATCACCCAATTGCTACAGTGATGAAGCTACTCACTCTGTTCTCAAACCCAGCCAACACTGCACAAGCAGCCACGCAGGGGAGAAGAACCCGTGCAGGGGGGAGACCGCACAGGGGACGACAAGACAGCCCATGCGACCCAACACAGTAATACCTCCGCCCTCCTCCCCCTTTCCCTCCTCCCCTCTTCCCCCTAATCCCCTGCCCCCCTCCCCTCTCCTCACCCCCTGCCTACCGCCCCTTACTCCGTTGCAACTCCAACCTCATTCACACCAGCAGCAGCAGAAGATAACATCCAAGAGCCGAGACCCAAGAGTCGATCCCGCACTCATCCTTCCCCTGGCAGGCACAGCCAGTGGTAACCCTCCTCGCCCCACGCCTCTCACCCAGTCGCTGATAACCCCTTACTCTGTCGCTACCCCTGCCTCAGGCTTGACAGCGATAACAGCCGAGACCCAAGAGTCGATCCCGCACTCATCCTTTCCACGGCACAGCTTATAGTAACCCTGCTCGCCCCACGCCTTGCCCCAGCTGTTCTTGATCACCCAGTAGTCCTTGTAGCGCAGGCGGGCAGGGGAGAACCTGTGAGACCCGTACCCCACCATGAGCACCCCGTGGTTCAGCGCGTGGCGGTTACACAGCAGAGGGCAGGAGACGCCCTTCACATATGACTGCATCCAGTTGGCATTCAGAGCAACTGCAGGTTTAGAGGTGGGGGAAGGGAAAAGGGGAAGGAAGGAGGGGGAGGGAAGGCGTGAAGTAGGAGGAGAGGTGGTTGATTCCAAAGAGCCCGTGTGACCCGTACCCCACCATGAGCACCCCGTGGTTCAGGGCATGGCGGTTACACAGCAGAGGGCAGGAGACGCCTTTTCCATACAACTGCATCCAGTTGGCATTGAGAGCAACTGAAAGGGTAGAAGTGGGAAAAGGAAGGGGGGAAGGAAGCAGGGGGCCGGGAAGGCGTGGGGAGGCCAAGAGAGGTGGTTAATAATTGAGAACCCGTGTGACTCATACCCCACCACGTGCAACCCGTGGTTCAACGCATGGCGGTTGCAGAGCAGAGGGCAGGAGACATTCTTGACATAAGAACTTGCATTTCAGTCGAACTTAACCGACAACAATGCAAAAAGAGAATTTCTAAGGATTTTGAATGTTCTTGCGTGCAAGAACTCAAGATGTTACAACGTTAAGCGGATCTCTAATGCACTTCACGTTGTACACCTTGAGTTTTTGTACGCAAAAACATCCAAGATCCTTAGAAATTCCTTCTTTGCATTGTTGTCACTTAAGTTCGACTGAAATGCGTGTTTGGGACATACCCGTAGCATCCAGTTGGCGTTTAGGCAACTGCAGGGGTCAAAGGGGCAGAAGTGAGGGGAGGAAGGGAGTGAAGGTAATGGTAACCATGTGTGTGATTAAAAGAGGAGCGGAGGAGAACCCGTGCCAGCCGTACCCCACCATCAGCACCCCGTGATTCAAGCCATGGCGGTTGCAGAGGAGAGGGCAAGAGACGCCCTTCATATACCTCCCACATACCTCCCACACATCTCCCCACACAATCAACCAGCTCATCTGAGAGAGGGCTGTGACCAGGTGAGCCTGCATCTGGTCGTCCTTCTGAGGCACCTCCACGAACGACTCCACCCTCACTGCCACCCATCCTGCACTCCTTCATGCAGGCAGCGAAGAACTCTCACCTGCGAGGGGCCCGTATTTGACCAAGTGAGCCTGCATCTGATCGTCCTTCTGAGGCACTTCAAGAAACGACTCCACTCACGCTGCTCCCTGCCTGACTGCCTGCCTGCCCACCCTCTGCCCTGCCTGGCACATACAGTTAAGTATGAATGCTCGCCTCTCTCTCACCTGCGAGAGGCCCGTATTTGACGAGGTGCGCCTGCATCTGATCGTCCTTCTGAGGCACCTCAACAAACGACTCTACTCTTGCCGCCACGCGCCCCGCGTCAAACTGGCAGCGCCCCTCCCTGCCCGTGTAGCCGTACTCCTGCTCTGTCTGCAGCCCCCCGGCCTTCTGGATGTAGCGAAACACGTTGTTCATCAGCCCGCCGCCGCACCCAGAGTCGCACGCCTCCTTCTGCTTGGGGTCGCACTGGATAACGAGAAGGGAAAGGCGAAAACGGATACGGGAGAAAAGGAAAGGGCAGGGATTGGAGAGTGGGGGCGGAAACGAGGGGGAGCGAGGTGAGGGTGTGTTGGTCGGACTGGCAGCGCCCCTCCCTGCCCGTGTACCCATACTTCTTGACGTTGCAGGGTATTTTTGAGAATTCAAACGCCCCTCCCTGCCCGTGTACCCATACCCCTGCTCTGTCCTAAAGCCGCCTGCTCTTTGCACGCCTTCTGACGCTCGGCTGCTCAGATTTCTCTCTCATGCTACCATTCGCGTTACAGTCACATCCTCCCCACTCACGTTATAATCACACTCACGTTATGGTCACAGTCGACGACCTGCTGCTCGCTCAGGCTGATCAAATCACCCGTCGCCAGATAGTGCGCGCCCTCCAACGCGCCCACGGCGCTGAACGCGTAGCACGACCCGCACATGCCCTTTAAGGAAGGAAAGGAAGAAAGTCGGTGGGACGGGGCGGGGAAGAGGGGGCAAACAACCGGGGAGAAGGGAGATGGAGCAGGAGAGGGCAGTATTGGCAGGAAAGAATTGCAGAGAGGGCGGTAGCGATTGGGGGGACGTGGCAACGGGGCTGTAGCACCCGCACCGCACATGCCCTGGGAGGGGCGCGGGGAAAAAGGGGGGAGAGGGAGATTCCTGCAAAACGGGCCTAAGGTAGTAAAAGGATTACAGTACTTAGTGCCTGATTCCTTCCATCTGGTTCTGACACCCCTCACCGCTCCCTTCTCGTGCCAGAACCAACCCCCATATCCCCTTCCCCCCAATCGCTACCGCTCAACCAGGGTCCCAATCGCTACCCCCCAACCAGGTCCCCTCACCTGGTTCTTAACGCCCGTCACCGCGCCCTTCTCGCGCCAATCGAATTGCTCCGGCAGATCTCCAGTCGGCAGCTCGGACCGCTCCAGCCGTCCCTCCGCTTTCAGGCTCTCCAGAAGCGCGCTGCGCGCCGATCGCGCGGAATCCACGGGCAGCAGGCCGAGATGCGTCTTGGCGAATTCTTCCGGGGTTAGATCTGAGAAGGGAGTCACGCCGTGTTCCGCGGAAGGGTCCTGCAGCTGGATCTGCGCCGCGCGGAGGAGGTTCGCGCGGAAGATCCGCAGGCGCGCGCGGTAGTGGCGGAGATCCGCCGCGTACGACTTGTTGAAACGGTGGATGAAACGCGCGAAGTGTTCCGCCGGGTTGCGCAGCGCGCCGAGCAGCGGGTGGCTGGCGGGAAGCTTGGAGAGGAGATGATTCACCTCCGTAGATCCCAAGATATTATCCGAGGCATCATAGACGATCTTATCGGATTCCACGGTGTTATCAAATCCGTCATCGTCGGCGCGAACGAAAGGGACGACGATAAGCGAGACTAGGGCCAGCAGCAGGAGAACATAAACCGCCAAGCAAGAGAACGCAAGCGCAGCCTACAGAGCTACAGCCAGGAAAGAGTATAGCACTCCTTGCAACAGGAGCAGTGGCGGCAACGGCTAGCGGCAAGGAAAATCTGGAACACATGTGAGAGCAAGATGGAACAAGCAACAATGAAGGGGAGGGTTGGGATAGGTTTGGAATGGAAGTTGCAACCGGCAAGGGATGGGGTGGAGGTTGATTGCTTGACAAGGAGGAAAAGAAGCACACGCACGGGGCAGGGGATGGTAAATGGAAGCGAACTAAGGAAGGATACTGTGATATTATCTTGCATCCAGGGGCTCGTAGTTAAAACACTGGAAGGATCTCTCCCTGGAAGCTGGTCCCCATTCATGCGAGCAATGCGGGTATCAGGGAGAAAGGTGGAGAACTCATACTTTTAACACAGTTTCAGGGCAGAAACAAAACGTTTACCCACATCCCCCAGTAATCGATTTTGAAAATGTCGCCTGATGCACTTGACTGACGTGACGGACCTGATCCATGACGTGTCGTCACCAAAGCGCTTGCCGACACGTCGACACGTGGGTCCCCTCTGCTGAGCCGACCAGTATCGAGCATCACGTCAGAATGCACTGAACTATGTGAAATGCATCATAGTGGATTTAATTAAAATTTCCAGAAGGGATTTTATTAGTGTCCTAATTAGATCACCTATTCACAACAGGGTTCTAAAAGGAGTATAAATTAACGAAATGGCAGATCCTACCCAATCTACACAGGATACACGCTCCCATGCAGCTCCACCCCAGATGCCCCTAACCTATTGTCACAATACTTTGTGTTGGCCTTCAAGACGAGGGTAGTCATCGAGCGACCCCAGTGACCCGCAACTCGAAATTGGAGATATGCTAATAAGAGAGACTTTTCGGCACCCCATACCTCTGCTCTTGAATACCCCCAGAGAACCAATCCCGTTTACCACATCCCTTCCTGCTCCACTCTCCTCCCCCTCCTCACTATCCTCGTCTGCTGCATACCCCATGGGGTTTTGCCTCGCCCAGTTCCACTGGTCCCGGCACATGTCCTCTACAGTGCGTGTAGCTCTGCAATAGAAATCATAGGTAAAGCAAAGAATAAAACACGGGTTGAGCTGAGAGCACCGGATAAGCGCCGGCATGCACTAAAACATTGAAACTAATCAAGTCACGACATAGGAAAGCACGTAGACCGGTAGTCAATCCTGGATACATCAATAGCACATCTCACCTCCAATCAAGGTCTTGTTGCGCCTTGTCTGTGGATGCAAAGACCTCGGAACAGTCTCCTGGTCGTCTGGGGCACAGCTTCACAGGAAGCTTCTGCATTGAGGGAACAAAGGGGAGCATGGGCGAATGCATGAGCATACAACGAGTGCGAGGTATGGAAATTATGAGAAGTGCAGGTCCAAAGCAGGCGAGGGGAAAAACAACATCTCAACTCAGGGGCATGCAAAGGTGGGTTGATACACGATCGAAAGGAACTCAGAAGTAATGAACATGACAAGCATGTGGAAGGACAAAAAGAAGAGTTAGAAGAGGGAAAGAAGCAGCAGTGTTATCTCACCTGCCCACACGCCCTTTCGAATCCAGCCACCATTTCCAACACTGTGGTTCCCTTGCCTGTGCCCAGGTTGTACACATCACAGCCTGCAAGTGAAGGGAAGGGTGAGAGGGAGAAAACACAAGGACGGACATGGGCACACTGTGCGGAAAGAAGCTGCCCTGTGGTGCATACACACACCCGACTGACATTTCAAACTTTTTCAGGCTGGGACTGAATCTGAATGCTGGGACATGAATGCCCGAGTTTCTTGGTGGCTCGGCAAGCTGCTGCTACCAGATTTACACCCGATTGGCAGCTACAGCTTCAAGACGTCCCAGTAACACATAAATGCCTGACTGGCATTTAAAGCGCTTGCGTTTTGAGGCGTCCACACATCTGACCGTCACTTCACGTACCTCCAGCCTGGCACATGAATATTCGCCTCAGTGCTGCTGCGTGGCCTGTAGCAAGATCCATGACGTGGATGTAGTCCCGCACCTGGTCATGCCACGTCACACGAGGGGAAGAAGGGGGGGAAACCAGACTATGAAATGTTTCGCGGAATGCAACGGGGGAAGATGGTGCGAAGCACGTGCACATTACAGACTACAATGACAGGTACTCAGGAGTCGTGACCTGCACGTGGAATGACGATGCACACGGAATGCCACTGCTCGGGGGACGTGGGGACAAATAACCTTAGCTCGTCGGCTCCTTTGCTCCTTTCGCGACACCTTTAGGATGTATGATATGTCACACCCAGCAGTGGTCGCACTCATTAAAAACTCCTCTTGCTTCTCCATTGGTAGGAGCTGCAGACGGCAGCACAATTGCCCGAAATCGCATCATTACAAGTACCGACCCCTTCTCATGCCCCAAATTTTCCCGAATTCCACATGCCTCCCTCGAGCCCAGCCATTTCTCTCACCCCTCAGCAGCCGCATGAAGGGTAGTAGCACCTCAACACCCAAACGGTGTGTCCGTCGCCCCACCGCCACCTGCTGGATGAACAGCATTAGGTTGTGGGGGGTCCTCCCTCAATGCGCCCTTTCTAAGAATATCCTACGTGCATTTTGCGCACCCACGATTCTCCCACTCACCTTGAACCCTCCCAACACTCCCACACGCACCCCAAACCCTCCCGCACTCACCCTCACTTTTTCCACTCACCCCTGTGCCATCACGGGTCCGGTAGTCGCTCCCAAACACGGAGAGGTGCGTCCGCCGCCCCACCGCCACCTGCTGGATGAACGGCATGAGGTTGTTGGGGAAGCCGCGCGGGTCCTCCCCGATGCGTCCGCTGGGGTGCGCGCCCACGGGGTTGAAGTAGCGCAGCAGCACGATGCTCCACGTGGCATCTGACGCGTACACGTCCTCCAGCACGCGCTCGATGTACAGCTGCACGCACAGCACACGAAGCGTTTTGTATCGGGAATGTTAGGAACTATGACGCGAAATGTCAGCACAGCACAAGACTGCTTGCCTAAGATCTGCTGTTCCTTCGATCTGCCTGCCGTACCTCAATATGGCGATTAATGACTGTTGATACGGGCAAAATCTTCAATGAAATTGCGAGATAGCAAGACAGGAGAGGGAAATCTCCTGCATTCTTTCCGATTTAACGTAACAGTACACGTATACCGGTATTGTCTCTAGTCCAGAGTGGAGTCAAGACTGCTTGCCTAAGATATGCTGTTCCTTTGATCTGCCTGCCGTACCTTGGACCTGCCGTAGGGGTTCAGCGTCTGCAGCTCATCATTCTCCGTGCAGGGGACCTGCTTCGGCTGGCCATACACCGTGGCTGATGAAGAGAACACGATCTGCGATAGTGGGAGTGAGAGAAGGGTTGAGGGAGAAAAATAAAGGGTCAATCCCTGCAGGTGGGGGGAACGACTTCCGTGCAGGGGATCTGCTTCGGCTGGCCATAGACCGTGGCTCGATCTGCCAGAGTGGGAGTTCACGGAAAGGAGTTGAGACGTCTAGTGGAGTTGCGAGGGAAGCATGAGGAACTCAGTGCAGGAGGCTCATTTTAGTTGGTCGTGACCGTGGCTCATAACGAGAAGACTATCCGAACGGGTGGGGATGAGAGAAATAAAGAGCTGATAAAGGAATGTAAGCGACACGACGATTGATTGCCCCAGTGACGTGGTTCGTACTCCTTCGGGGCCCACTTGTGGAACGTACCTTCTGGCAGCCAAAATCGCAGATTGACAGTGCATCTAACACGGATAGTGCTTGTATTTAATTGCCTTAACAAACAAACCTTCTCGCAGCAATAATCAGTCAAGACCTTCGGTAGAATGAGCGCGACATTGTTCCCATAACATTTCTATCGAGACGTGTTATAAATCGTACCTTCTTGCAGCCGTGGTCGCTCATGACTTCCAGCAGGTTGAGCGTGCCAGTGACGTTGTTCTGGTGGTACTTGAGCGGGAACTTGATGCTCTCTACCACGGCCTTCACCAAATTAAGCGTGCCAATGTTTCGATAACACTACTACAGAGGCGTTTTATAAAGCGTACCATCTTGCAGCCGTGGTCGCTCATGACTTCGAGCAGATTGAGCGTGCCGGTGACGTTGTTCTGGTAGTACTTGAGCGGGAACTTGACGCTCTCTCCCACGGCCTTCAACCCCGCGAAGTGAACCACCGCGTCGAATCTGCAAGTGTAACATTGCAAGTCAGTCATTGCATCTCAAGTACCAGCGTAACATTGCAATGAATCATCGTCAACGTATGCATCAACGCGCAAGCGGAAAAAAGGGGGAATCAAGCTCAGAGACAGCTGCTATCGCATTGGACGGGGAATGCCAAGGCATATAAAAACTGGAAAGGCACCAAGATGAAAGAGTATATGAAAGAGATGACGTTTTAAACTCGACTTCGCCGAGTTATATTATAGTGGCCCGATGCTGAAGTCACTGGGTGAGGTAATGCAAGATTGCAGACCGAAAGGTTCCTAGTCCTAGTGCCTTTTTCTTTCCAATCTGGTTCACTTACTGGATTTGATTGAAGAGCTCTTCAAGTGTTTCCTTGTCAAGTAAGTCAACCTGCATCCATTTCATCCCAATCAGCAAAATCATTCCTGAGTGACTAAAATCTGCGGACATAGTTTGTACCTCAATACGACGTTCAGGCCAGTACCATAACCGCGTCTTGTCAATCGTGCATGCGGATAATTCCTCTCGGAAAGCACTCTTGACTGACCTTGAAGAATGTTAACATAACTCATTAAGAAAGCACTCTCGGCTGACCTTGAAGAATTGCAAGTTCCTGCCATTCTCGCCTGCGAGCTCCGCCACTCTCTTGACGGCTTGCTCCGAGGAATTGTCCAAGTTGTCGACCACAACCACTCTGAGGACACCACGTGGCAGATGAACCGGAGGAACAGAATATACCATGTATACACGAATAGCAGTGATGACCAAGTTTCCGCGTCAGCGAACTTGGAAAGGAACGAGTTACGAGAAGCTGTGAAAAGGCTGTACAGAAGCTAAACCCCTTTGTCGACGGGGAACTAAATAACAGAAAATGGTGGTCTAGGGACTGTTACCTGTAGCCCTCCTGCAGCAGCTGGACGCATGTATGGCTACCGATGTACCCTGCTCCTCCAGTTACTAAAATAGTCGCTTCTCCTGCTGGTCGGCCATTGGCCAGCCACGTGTTGCATACTCTAAGTAGCGAAGGTTCCGGACTACTGTTCTCCATGTGTTCGCAACTGGCTAGATCAGTGGCTGGTCTTGTGAAGAGCGAGCCTACCATACCCTGATACTGCTAGCAATATTAGCTACACAAAAGCCTGGAAGAAAAGCGCAAGATCAGTTGATACACGATTAGAATCTCGCCTAATTTATTTTCTGAGGGACCGAAAAGAGGTATAACTGCGGTGATAGAAGCTGTCAGACGGATGGACCTCGTCGACAAGGCAACAAAGACTAGGCAAATCTTCGGCAGCACTAAATGCAAGACACGATGTAATTGATGGATAACGCGTCTTTAGGCGACAAAAGAGCGACCCTGGCTATCAAGGCTGAACGTCTATGGCTCCTGTAAATGGATAAAGACCCCCCGAGCACACGCCTGTCACTTTCAAGGTGGTTCGTCTTGGCCTTGTCGCCTCCAAGCCGCCTACTTTCTCTCGAGTCCTAGACTGGTCTCACGTGTTCGTGGCTTCGTTGGTTGGTTGCTGCTTTGATGGATTACTCTGGTTGTCTGTCTTCCCTCTCCTCCCTGTCTCCTGCCTAGCCTACCTGTTTTTTGGACAACTACACACACCTCGAGAATGGATGTGACAAGCTCTCATCGGTTTCGTGACCCGTGAGTTGATCGGACGGCTGTTTTGCGCTTCCACTGGTCCACTTTGTGCTTGATGATAGTACGTACGGTTTAGATCTTCCCCGAGGTTGTCTCTGACAATTTGATGCGCGGTCTGATCACTGCTAGCTGGCGCGATTCGTCTCTGCTATGCGATGCAGGCAACACCTTACGAGTCATGGAGAGAGTGTCGCAACACCCTCCTGGAACTTCGCAATCGAACGAAATGGATCGCAGGAGAACGTGCTGCGACCAGGGGCTGCAATTTTCGACACGAGCCGCGCTCCGTGAAGGAAGGAGGTGGATGAAAGCTCAACCGCATCTCCGAACCTAATTGTGGAGACGTGCTCGCATGATCAGCGAGCAAACCGCATTACGCCACGTCAGATGAGTCTGGAGGGTCACTTGCAGCACGCACGTTGGTTGGTGGTTGTCCAAGATTGCGATTGGTAGTGGGGACCACAGGGTTTGGGGACAAGCCTCTATTTTGCAGGATGCCCCTCGACCCCGACCCTGAAAATCGGGATGGTTTTTGGGGACAACCCAGCCATCGTTCAGGTTGGTACTTTTCTTTGGTGATCCGGATTTGGTGATTGCAACTCGGCTGAGTTTGTTTACAAACCACCCGGAGTATTTCCCACTCACTGTTTCTCGTAAAGATAAGACTTACTTAGCCGGAATACCTGAGTGTCACAACGGCCTCGTCTTTCCTGAACATTCCACTTTGACTTCGTTTTCTGGCATACTTCAGCAAACCTTCTTCAACAAACCAGCCGGATTGATTCCCACTCTTCGTGTTTCTTTTACGAGAGTCTTAGCCGTAAAACCACAACCTCACAACTTTGAAATGCCTCGTTCTTCTACTCGAGCATCTTCCATACAATCCACTACCTACTTACAATGTTGCATTATATAGGGCAGGGAAAACTGGACACGTTTTCCACCTCTGTTTGAGAATGCGTGTCGTGATCAGAGGCTTGTGAAAAACGTATCCTCCTTTCTGGGTCTGTGTTCGTAGCAGGCTATAAATTATAGTATTCTGTTTTCTATAAGAACTCATTCTATTATTTGAAACATACTTCGACGCATATTAATATACATTTGTCAACTGGAGCTTTTCTGTTTTATTTGTATTATTACTAAAATTATTTGTCTATCTGCATACCAGTGGTTTTTCTTACATCATTTCCGTGGAATTGGCCAACAGAGTCCATACCAGCTATGAAACATTTGGGATGTTATGCCCGTAACGGGATGCTGTAGCGAGTATCGTCCTCATCTTCCTTTTCCTGGAGCCTTGTTGCCGTGTGGAGGTTGTCAACTCACCTCAACCTCAGGGCGTGTAACATTGTAGCGACCATGCCTAAAATCCGACCAAATGGTTGGGTCATGCGAGTGCGAATGGTGTAACGTCTGAACGAACCCCGCCACACAATGACCATTCTGTTCGCGGGGCACCCATCCTTAACTACCCCCGTATTTAGAATTCAAAGGTTGAATCCAAATTTTAGCATTCGGACGGAGTGAGGAATATATGGGGCAAAGAGAGAGAGTAGTGTTTAGCAAGTTCATAGGCCTTATCGAATCAAATTAGGAGGAAATATCTGGAAGTGAAAACACCATCCCCTTCCCAGGACTAGTAGGAGTACAGGTCGCGTAAGTCTGTGACACAAAATTAGATGAAAATAGCACCTGAAAGTTTTCTCTAGTCAGTGTGACTACCACGTAGGGTGTTACCCCATTTTTTTCGCAATCGTCAGAACCACCCAATGGTCATATTTTTGGGTTGGTCGGTCCAAAGTTACACGCCCTCACCTTACCTACATCTCGCCAAAACACATCAAACCACACCGCACCACACCACAAGCACTCGCAACCTATTCTTCAGACAGATTCGCACGAGATAGTTGTGCTCCTTTCTAACGGGAAACGAGCTTTTTCAGAGCCAAGAAGTTGCCGTTCTGCTGCCGCGTTGGATTTGTCAACAGGTTACCGGAGAAGTCGCTAGATACGAGGTTCAGCTGGGCAGGACGTCACGTGCCGCGCAGGAAAAGCAGTGTCGATTGCTTGCTGCTAGAGTTCAGCGAGGCGTGAAACATGGCGAGGGAATGTTCATGAGTATGTGATTCGCTATGAAACCTAATCTCCTTAGCCTGGCAGCAGCGGATGTAGACACGAGCAATCTGTCTGATATTGACAAGCTTCGAAAATAGTAGGTGGAGCGATCCTGAGTCTGGCAGCAGTAGTTAGACTCCACTAGGGTGACTTAATCGTCTCGAAACTCAATCCTAAAGCCTCGCAGCAGTAGGTGGAAGACTCTACTCTGGTGACGAGTTAGCCGTCTCGAAAGGCAACTCCAGAACTTGGCGGCAGTAGGAACACTCACGAAAACCGCTCTCGTAAACCGTCGCTCAGTACGATCGTGTTCTCCTATTAAGAAACAGCGGGTGATTTTCATTTTATAACTTTCAGCTACCAGACGAGTCCAGGGAAGCGAGGCACTTTAAGACACCAAGACCGCTCGACGACGCCACGTCAGCATGAGCTTTCAGGACATCGGCCGGTCGTCGGGCCCTGCCGTTGGGGGTATGAACGGAGTCGGTCGGCCGACTTCCGATCCGTCAAGTCAGACGGTTCCGTCAAGTCAGGCGGTGGCGTCAGGCGTGTTTCAGATGAACACGGCAGTGGGGACGTTCAAGCGGCTCGTCAACACGCTGGGTACCGCTAAGGACACCGTCGAACTCCGTGAGAAGCTGTACGCTGAGATTATATTCTATAAAGTACGAAGAGCCAATGATTTATCTTGTTTTATTCCAACCTTAATCGTGCTGTCAGCACTCTGAGTAGCACGAAGTGCGCAATTGAACTCCGTGAGAAGCTGTTCGAGCACCCACTTTGTGGATTGCTGATGTGCCGATAGGGTTTCGTGTCTTGTTCTCACGTGGTCCGTGGGACCCGAATTTTCAACTCGCTCGCGTCATCCATGGTGCTTTGCCCTTTCGTGCACGTCCTGGAAACGCGAGCGACCGTGGATGACGCGAGCGAGTAAAAAATTCGTGCACCACGTCCTGGAAACTCATCCATACGCAGACGTGGCCGTCGGCTGTCCCATTTTTTTTTTACCATTTCGCCAACATCATCACGAAATCTGTCATTTTTCTTCCGTTTTTCCCCGTCTCCCTCCGTGATCTTCCGTACCCTCCGTCACGCTCCGTCAACGCTCCGTCAACCCTCCGTCAACCCTCCGTCAACGGCAGGCACAAGTCGCGGCAGTACATCAGCCATCTGGCCAAGGACACGGCACAGAAGCTCAAAGATGCCTCTGCGCGCGACCACTCCGCTGGCGTCAGCGTGAGTGCCATCTCTCCTCCTTCTCCCTCCCCTTCCCTCCCCCTCCCTCCCTCCTCCCAATATCAACGTCGTTTTTGAGAATTCTAAATAGTGAAGTTTGAAGGATGCCTCTGCGCGCAACCATTCCGCTGGCGTCAGCGTGAGTGCCATTTCCCTCACACCCCACCTCCACCCCTTTCTTCCCCCTCCCCCCTTCCCCCACCTCCACTTTCTCCTACCACCCCACGCTTCACCCCCTCCCCGTCCGCCTTCCTCTTTCTGGCCCTCATCCTACCCGAACCTTTTGCGCGCAACCATTCCGCTGGCGTTACCTTGAGTGCCATCTCCTTCACAATCTCCACCCCCCACTTCCATCTCCTACCCCCCCTTCCCCCCTGACCCACCCTCCCCCATTCCCCCGTCCCCCTTCCTCCTCCTAACGCTCATTCCACCCAATCCTTTTGCGCGCAACCATTCCACTGGCGTCATCTTGAGTGCCATCTCCTTCACACTCCCCGTCCCCCCCTCCCCTCCCCCCCCGCCACACCCCCGCTGTTTTCCCCCCACACATCCCTCCCTCCCCGCTCCTCCCTCCTGCCTTCCTCATCATCTATGCAGGCGACGCAGAAGATCAGCGACGCCAAGCTAGCCAAGGACTTCCAGGCGGTGTTGCGGGAATTCGAGCTCCCCTCTTTCCGTTCCCTTCTCTCAACCCTGACACACACACCCCTCGTTCCCCGTGCCCCCCTCTGCGGAATTACAGGCGACGCAGAAGATCAGCGATGCCAAGCTAGCCAAGGACTTCCAGGCCGTGCTCCGCGAGTTTGAGCGCGCGCAGCACCTCGCGGCGGAGCGGGAGGCCGCCTTCGCGCCCTTTGAGAGCCCCCGCCGCGGGGGGACCGCGCAGATGTCCGCAGGGGGGGCGCCGTCGGTGGCGTCTTTGGGGTCTTCTGGAGGGTCGTCAGGCAGTGGGAGAGGAAAGAGGTGCGTGAGAGGATCTGGGTGTGAGAGGTACCTTAAATCAGTGGAGAAGGTGTAAAAGCGGTGGGAGAGGAAAGAGGTGCGTGAGAGGATCTGGGTGTGAGAGGTACCTTTAATCAGTGGAGAAGGTGTAAAGGCGGTGGCAGAGTTATGGAATCGAACCTGGGGGGTTGTTTATTTCAGAGGGGGCGGCTGGGGAATAGGGAGGCAGGTAACGGTACTTGCCTTTTTCTCTGCAGTGAGAGCACAGAGAAAGGGAAGAGCAGGGGCACAAAAATCCCTCTTACCCCTCTGTACCCCTTCTCCTTCTTCCCCTTCTCCCTGCCATTCCCGTCTGTTCCTCCCGGCCGTTTGCACATCCGCAGGGGGACAGGCAGTGTGGGATTGTCTAATTTCGGAGGGACAGGAGGGGCGCAATTGGCGGAGCAGGCGGACAGGGAGGAGCAGAGAGACCCGCTGCTAGCGCAGCAGAGGTGAGAGCATGGCGTGTGCGCGTGAGTGTGAGTGTGAGTGTTCACGCCATCCTCGTACTACTTGAGGATTTGGCCGACAGAGAGGAGCCTCTTAATGATGGTAACCTACGGGGAGGAGCAGAGAGACCCGCTGCTACCACAGCAGAGGTGAGAGCATGGCGTGTGTGCGTGAGTGTGAGTGTGAGTGTTCACGCCATCCTCGTACTAGAGGATTTGGCCGGCAGAGAGGAGCCTCTTAATGATGGTAACCTACGGGGAGGAGCAGAGAGACCCGCTGCTACCACAGCAGAGGTGAGAGCGGGGCCTGTCGGTCAGAGAAGAATGTTTTTTTCCCTTCTCCAGCCCCCGCACCTCTCCACACACCCCTTTCTACTTCCCGCACACAACTGCACACCTCCCACATTCCCACACCCCCACATTTACTCACACCCACCCACACTCACCCACACTCACCCACACTCACCCATACTCACCCACACTCATCCACACATACCCACACTCACCCATACTCACCCACACTCACCCACACTAACCCACACTCACCCACACTCACCCACACTCACTCGCACTCACCCACACTCACCCACACTCACCCACACTCACCTACACTCACCCTCACCCACCCACACTCACCCACACTCACCCACACTCACCCTCACTCACCCACACTCACCCACACTCACCCTCACTCACCCACACTCATCCACACTTACCCACACTGTCTTTCGCCCTGTTCCAAACCCCATGCCCTCTTCCTCCCCTGCCTTCTTCCTGTTGCAGACACGAGATGGCAGTAGTGGAAGGCGAGTTAGCTTATAACAAGGCGGTGATAGAGGAGCGGGAGCTCCCTGTCCCACCCCCCCACACACCCCGTCCCAACCCCCCACACATTCGCACACGTTCCCTTCTCTGTGTTGCAGGCACGAGATGGCAGTGGTGGAAGGCGAGTTGGCTTATAACGAGGCAGTGATAGAGGAGCGGGAGCAGGGCATTCAGGAGATTCAGCAGCAGATAGTGGAGGTGAATGAGATCTTTCAAGACCTGGCCGTGCTGGTCCGGGAGCAGGGAGGCATGATCGGTGAGTCAAGGCCTTATAACAAATGGGCTTGTAACGAGTAGGCTTGTAATGGAGCAGCAGATAGTGGAGGTGAATGAGATCTTCCAAGACCTGGCTGTGTTTGTCAGAGAGCAGGGAGGCATGTGACAAATATGCACCTCAGATACGCCCCTTGTCGTGTTTGTGCCCCTTCTGCGTCTTCCTTTCTTTTCTTTCTGCAGATGACATAGAGGCGAACATAGAGGGGTCGAGGGCGCAGGCAGTGAACGCCAACAAGCAGCCACAAGCAGCTCACGAGTTCCCCGTGTGTCCCTTACTCGCCTTGTTTTGCGATTCTTCCTGCAGACGACATCGAGGCGAACATAGAGGGGTCGAGGGCACAGGCAGTCAACGCCAACAAGCAACTCACCCAGGCAGCAAGGAGTCAACGCGAGTCCAGCTCATTTGTATGCACACTGAACCTGGAGTGCCTCATCACGTCGTGATTTTCCTTTGGCTGAAATAGACTCAATGCAAGTCCAGTTCCGTAGTAAGCTTACTTGCCTCCACCCTTGAGTTCCCTTCATCACTCCCTTCACCCCCCTCCCCTCCCCCCCATCCCTCCCCTTGAATTCTTATTCCGTCTAACACCATCACTTCATGCCTGCTTTCACCCCTCAACCCCGTTCTCTTGTTACAGACGTGTTGGGTGATGGCAGTGTTTGCCATTGCTCTCTTCATTTTCTTCCTCATCATGTCTGCCTAATGTGCATGGAGGCACTCGTCGAGATGCTAATTTCTAGTTAGCATTATTACTTCCGTTCACAAGAAGCACGTATGGGCTCTTTATATGGGTCATCGTTGATTAAAACGTGCAGTTGAGGTCCAATTTTTCAGCATTGATAAGTAGGCTGGAAAATACGTTATTAGTTATCGGTTGTATTGCAATCCCATATATGATATGTACATCCTATGTTTTTCTGGAGATTATTCTACTAGTTGTATGATGCATTTTACGTTGTACAATATTGCAATATTTTTTTGCATTTTCTACATGATAGGGAGGACAACCTGAGCTGATATCTCTCCACATCAGCATTCTGTAGGTGATGATGGTGGAGGAGAATTATCCAGGGGCATTTATCTTAGCGGTAACACTCTTGGAGCTCGATCGCACGCGAGGTAAGCCACGTGTTCAAATCGTAAGAGAGATGTCTTCTTATCGCCACGATGGTAACCATCATGCCCAGATGGTCAACATTATTGCTTGCATGGTAATGAACAGTGCATCCGGAAATCCTGGCTGGTAACTTCGCGTTCCAACCAAACTGTACACCGTACAAGTCAGGTTTGACTCAGCAAACCATACTGACTGTCAACGTGTACCCCACAGAATGCGAATTTCCGTTTATAGTAGCGACGTTTACAAATCCAGTCAGTAAAACCGCGATATGGTAACTCGTCATCTGTAAATAATTTTAAAAACAAACAAAGAAACAAAAATCATTAACTATCAAACAAACACCACAAAAAAAACACACACATACAATGTCAAACGGAAAAGCTATCCTAGTGATAAATATTTTGCAAAACAATATTCTACCCTATCAAAATTATATTTCAGAATATTAGGAATTGGAGCTAGACCTAGTTACAAAATTTTCAATATCAATTTGAACAATATTAATTTTGTATATGATAGACAATTAAAGTTGCATAAAAATAAAACATTTTATATATTAAACAATGCATTCAAGACATGATATAAACTGTATGAACATATAATTAAATCCCAGTTTTTTTAATAGTCAGGCAATATTTGTTTTTTTCGGAGTGTCCGTAAGATGCTTGCTATAATAGTGATTATTTATTATATCGAATAAGTGCATGTAACGTTTTGCGTTTGTAAGCGTTCGTTTACTAAACATAATTGCGCAATACATTACACTTGGTAGCGTCGGTAGCGCTCGGTAGCGCTACCGTTTCGCTAGACGACGCTACCGAGTGAGTCAGCATTCTGACCGCGTGCAGAAAAAACTAAAACCCATTCGGACCTGCATGCCATTCGGGAGCCTCAACCCTAAAATTTTAGGGTTGATGCTCCCAAATGGCATATCTTCCGATGGGGTTTTTTTTTTCTTGCCCGCTGACTCATTGCACTGCCTGCTGACGCAGGCAGTGCAATATATTACCCATTCTGTGGGTGTATAAGTGGACAGTCAGTTTCCTTTTTGCTGAGTCAAACCTGACTTGTACGGTGTACAGTTTGGTTGGAACGCAAAGTTACCAGCCAGGATTTCCGGATGCACTGTTCATTACCATTCAGGCAATAATGTTGACCATCTGGGCATGATGGTTACCATCGTGGCGATGAGAAGACATCTCTGTTACGATTTGGACACGTGGCTTACCTCGCGTGCGATCGAGCTCCATGAGTGTTACCGCTAAGATAAATGCCCATTATCCAGTGATCTCTTGATGATTCCGTGGCAGGAGGAAGATTCGAAATTGCGGTTGTCCTCCTTTCGCGACGCGATCTTCTGTGAATGCACTTTTCCATCGTGATCAGTCGCGCGTGCCAGTTGGTCTGCTGCGCCTGCGTGTAGCCTCTGTGGCGCCGCCACGCCGTCTCTGCTGCCAAACAGCAGCCAATCACAGTCGCTCCTGCCTCACCCTAACAGAAAGTTGCCCATTGCCAACTGGCTTCATCCCAGAGGTTCAAGCAATCTCGAAGTTCCCACAACGAATCTCCCCACCATCAATCGGCACTGGCCGTCAGATCAGAGACATCTTCCAGTCATGTGGGATGTCACAGTCAAGTGGTTACCATATTCTCGTCAGCTCTGCTCTTCGCCGTACTTACCTCGCTGGCGTCCAGCTTTCGTTAGAAAGTTCGTCAACTTGCTGTTCCCTTCGGTTTCGACCTCTCCTGTCTGTCCCTTGATATCTCCCAAGCTCCCTTCACCCTAAATTCCAGCCATGGCTGCCATTTCCATCACTTTTTCCTGAACCTGTCACGTTTTTTCCTGCGAAGCAACTTTTTCTGACTAGGCATTCGCTGAGTCAGGAAGCGCAACAGCTTAGTGTGTCGTTTCGCTTGACGACTCAGGTGGCTCCTTTTCTTGCGCACAGGCACGCGTTTGCGGTGCCTTGTTGTCACTACAGTCCCTCTCGTTTTCGGCTCTCGGCGACAGGCAATTCGCCGTTCGTGAAAAAAACGATGAGCGGTTCCGTCGTGCTCTCAAGCTCCGCAACAAAACCCGCTTGTTCTCCTCAAGCTCGCAGCAATCCCATGTCCTTACCGTCCTCTCCTCTCACACTGAAGCTTAAGCCCATGTCGCTCCACGCTCTCTCTATTCCCTTCCGCCATGGCTCCTCTCTCAATCTTCCCCTCCACGGCACTCAGCGTCGCGCGTTTCGCCCGACGGAGTGCAGAATTCGCCAAGGGAAGAAACCCGTCGCACAGCTGTCGCAACTGTCGCAGGCCGCCGTCGCAGTAGAGGTGGAGGAGGAAGTCGACGTGGGGATTATGCAGCCTCACGAAATTCACCATTCGCATCCACATGTCGAGTCGCCTGGCACCTCCTCCAGCAGCACCCCTCCAGGCTCCCCTCGTCGCGGAGCCGGCAAGTCTGCCGGCGCCGGTAAAAGTACCGGCGATCGCGCGGGAGCGTCGAGCGTGGCATCCGGAGTGCGGCTCGAGGGAGTCACTAAGACGTTCAAGGGAGTGCAGCTTTTAACGGATATTTCGTGGGAGGTGAAGCGCGGCGAGCGCGTGGGTCTTGTCGGCGTGAATGGCGCGGGGAAGACTACGCAGCTGAAGATTATAACGGGGGAAATCGAGCCAGACACAGGCGTTGTTCTTAAAGCGAGGTCGAACATGAAGATTGCATACCTCACGCAAGAGTTCAATGTCGTCCCTTCGCGAACGGTTCGCGAAGAGTTCCTGTCCGCGTTCGCGGAGCAGATGGACATTAAAGACCGGCTGGAGGAGGTCCAAGCCGCGCTAGAACGCGCCACGGAGGACATGGATTTAATGTCGCGGCTTCTAGATGAGCTCGACGACCTCCAGAAGAAAGCCGAGGCGCTCGACTTGTACAGCGTTGACGTGGCGATTAATAAGATGATGCCGGAGCTAGGGTTCGGTCCGGAGGATTCGGAGCGGCTCGTGGCTTCTTATAGCGGGGGGTGGCAAATGCGAATGTCGCTGGGGAAGATTCTGCTGCAGCAGCCGGATTTATTACTCCTGGATGAGCCTACTAATCATCTGGACTTAGACGCGATTGAGTGGCTTGAGAAGAACTTAAAGCAACAGGACGTTCCCATGGTGATCGTCTCTCACGATCGCGCGTTTTTAGACCAGTTGTGTAATAAGATCGTGGAGACTGAAATGGGGATTAGTATGACGTTTCCGGGGAATTATAGTGCGTACGTGGCGGCGAAGGCGGAGTGGATCGAGGCGCAGCGGATGGCGTGGGAGCGGCAGCAGAAGGAGATTGCGCGCACGGAGGATATGATTGCGCGGCTGCAGGGAGGGGGGAACGCGGGGCGCGCTTCTTCCGCGGAGAAGGTGAGGGGGAGGGGGCGAAGATGAGAAGTATGCGGGAAGAAGGGGCGAGAAAGAGCCGATATTTTTGTCGCTTCCCCTTCCGCTTTCCCTTCCGCTTCCCCTTCCACTTCCCCTTCCGTCCATCCATGCTATCCGCTTCATCCCCTCCCCCCTTCCCCCCTCCACCCCCCTCAGGCACTAGAGCGCCTGCAAGAAGAGGGCGCGGTGGAGAAGCCGTTCGAGCGCAAGCAGATGCGGTTCCGCCCATACTTGTTACCCACTCCGCTACCCCTCCCTCCCCTACCCTCCCCCCCTTCCCCCCCCCCCCCCCCCCCCCGTCTCTCTCCCTTCCTCAGGCTCTCGAACGCCTGCAAGAGGAGGGCGCGGTGGAGAAGCCGTTCGAGCGCAAGCAGATGCGGTTCCGCTTCCCGGAGCTGGAGCGCAGCGGGCGCATCACAGTGCAGATCGCAAACCTCTCGCACAGCTACGCGAAGCGCAGCGCCGGCGGGGAGGAGCAGCTCAATGTGTTGTTCGACAAGGCGAAGCTTCAGATCGAACGCGGAGAGAAGCTGGCGTTCATCGGACCCAACGGGTGCGGCAAGAGCACGTTGTTGCGATTTATTATGGGGTTTGAAGAGCCCGAGCACGGCATTGTGGCTCTGGGGGAGCACCGCGTTGTGCCCAACTACTTTGCGCAAAACCAGGTGAGCTATAGAGGGAGAACAGTTACGTGCAGTCCTAGGGCACAGCAAGGTGGCGGCGCAAGCACTGGACCTAGACAAGACGGTGTTGCAGACGGTGGAGGAGGTGGTGGAGGGGTGGGCTGCTCACTCCCCTCTCTTCCCTCTTCCCTCTCTCCCCGCACCTCTTCCCCCCCTTCCTGTATCAGGCGCAGGCGCTAGACTTAGACAAGGCGATTTTGCAGACAGTGGAGGAGGTGGTGGAGGAGGTGGTGGAGGAGGTGGTGGAGGAGAGGGCTGCTCCTCACTCCTCTGCTCCTCTCTTGCCCTCCCTGTCCCTCTCTCGCCTCGCTGTCCCTCTCTCTCCCCCCATCAGGCCCAGGCACTTGATCTAGACAAGACGGTGTTGCAGACGGTGGAGGAGGTGGCGGAGGGGTGGAAGATGAACGACATCAAGGCGCTGCTGGGCAGGTAGGCGTTGTTGGGGGGAGGTATGACTTGGCGAGGTACTGCCGGGGGAGGTAGGTTCCGGGGTGGGCCGGGGCAGGAGTTTTCAGGGGCAGGTGGTTTCTGGGCAAGGCTGATTATTCGAGCTCGTTTCCCCCTCCTACCGTCACCACCCATCCGCCTCAGAATTTCTTACCTCTATTCCCCTCATGTTCCCCCTGTCGGTCCCCCCCCTTCCTGTATCCCTGCTTTGATACTCCTTCCAAATCCAAGAGGTCGAATCTAGCTTCTGTGTTCCCCCTCTTCCCCCCATTCCCCCTCTTCCCCCCACCCCCCGTCTTCCCCCCATTCCCCCGCGCCCCCATCCCCCCCCCCTCCCGCAGGTGCAACTTCAAGGGCGACACGCTGAGGCGCAAGGTGGCGTTCCTCAGTGGCGGGGAGAAGGTGAGCTTGCACAGGGGGAAGGGACAGGGCGGTGGGGGGGGGGAGGAGAGGGAGGAGGGGAAAAGAGGGGGGGGGGAGGGTGTTGGGAGGGGAAGGTGTTGAAATGATAAACACAAGGTGTCTGCTGTTTCCGCTGCTGGCTATGCTGCTGAGTCATGGCCCTTGCTCATTCTGGAGTGAGCTTGCTGCTTCCTCTTGTGCTTCTGCTTCAACTCCCTTTCCCCCCCTCATCTCCTCCCCTGCCCCCTCTTGCGCGTCTGGCCCTGTGCAAGTATCGTGTTGACCGACTTTTGAGTCGACTCAAAAGTCGACTCTTCCCCGACTCATCTCCTCACCTCCTGCGCATCTGGCCCTGTGCAAGTATCGTGTTGACCCTGGCAACAGCTGCTGAGTCCTGATCACTCTAAAGCTGTTGTCCCATGCTCTGCCCCTTCTCCTCGTCTCTCCACATCTCCTTATCCCATCTTCTACCCTTCAGGCCGTCTGGCGCTGTGCAAGTTCATGGTCAGCCCGGCAACGGTTGTTGAATCATGGCCACATCAAGTCCTGCTCCCCTCCTCGTTCCCTGCCCCTCCCCTGCCCATCCCCTGCCTCTCCCCTCCACCTGCTACCCTTCAGGCGCGCCTGGCGCTGTGCAAGTTCATGGTCACTCCGGCAATGCTGCTGGTGCTGGACGGACGAGCCAACCAACCACTTGGGTGTTCCCTCCCTCCCCTGCACCCCCCCTTATCTTCTCCCCTTCAGGCCCGTCTGGCTCTGTGCAAGTTCATGGTCACCCCGGCCACGGTGCTGGTACTGGACGAGCCCACCAACCACCTGGATATCCCCACCAAGGAGATGCTCGAGGTGGGTTGAGAGGAGTGGAGAGGGGTGGCGAGGGGTGGACGGGGGTGGTGGGGGAGTGGAGAGAGGGGTGGTGGTATAGGGTGTGGGAGCAAGAAGGGCTGCTGGTGCTGGACGAGCCGACTAACCACCAGGACATCCCCACCACCAAGGATGCTCGAGGTGGGCTAGTCATGCTAGGAAGACAAGGTACTGGATCATGCAACTTTGGCTGGAAGTGGATATTCAAGGTAGTGGATTGCTGCATGCGTGCGTGTGTGGGTGGACCATGCAGCTCTGGCAGGAGCTAGGGACAGGACATTGTGTAGGTGAAAGAGAGAGGGCCATGCGTTGTCTCTCACACAACTGACAGCTGTTTTCGCAGGTAGTCGATCCGTGGTTTCCCCCCCCCCCCCCCCACACACTCTCCTCCATCCCTGCCCCTCCTTGTCTCAGTCGTTCAATCCTTTTTTCCCCCTTCCTCCTCCCACCAACATCCTCCAAACCCCCCCTCCCACCCTTCCCCTCCTCTTTCCCTCGTTCGCTCCTTCCACAGGAAGCACTGAGGGAGTTCACAGGGGCGGTGCTGGCTGTCTCCCACGATCGCTACTTCCTGCGGCAGATTGTGAACCGTCGATCTCGCTCAACCCCCTTCTCTCCCCTTCTTCCTTTTTCTTCTACCCATCTCTCGCCCCCTCCTTCCACAGGAGGCACTGCGGGAGTTCACAGGGACGGTGCTGGCTGTCTCCCACGACCGCTACTTCCTGCGCCAGATTGTGAACCTGTTCTCACCCCCTCTTCCCCCAATTCCTCTTTCTTCCCCTTCCCTACCTCCACAGGAAGCCCTGAGGGAGTTCACAGGCACGGTGCTGGCAGTCTCCCACGATCGCTACTTCCTGCGCCAGATTGTGAACCGAGTGGTGGAGGTGAAGGAGAAGAAGCTGCAGGATTACAGCGGTGATTATAACGTGAGTTGGGCCTGTATAATGGTTGACTATAGTATGGGTCAATAGTGGTTGTAACTTGAGTGAGTGGTTTGAGTGTTAACATGTGTCGTGTCATACCAGGGTTTAGGGTTCCGAGTGGTGGGGTGCAAGGAGCACCGAGAGACTTGAGTCTGAGACATCTCTTCGCCCCCTGTTCCCTTTCCATCTTCCCCCCCTCCTTTCCCCCCACCAGTACTACCTGGAAAAGAACCTGGAGGCGCGGCGCAAGGAGGTGGAGGGACTGGGACTGAGACATTTCTATGTGCTGACTGTTGCTGCTCGTTGCCGACGAACCCCCCCATTTCTCCATCTCCTCCTCTCTCCCTCCTCCACCAGTACTACCTGGAGAAGAACCTGGAGGCGCGGCGCAAGGAGCTAGAGAGGGAGTCGGAGGTGGAGGCGGCTGCTCCTGTTGTGAAGGCCAAGAGCAAGATGAGCAAGGTGAGGTGGGGAGATGAGGAAGGTGGGGGGATGAGGGGAGTGGGTTTGGGGGTAATTGATTGCTCTGAGGTGCCTGAAAGCGAAGGCGCAAGGAGGTGGAGAGGGAGTCGGAGGTGGAGGCGGCCGCTCCTGTTGTGAAGGCGAAAAGCAAGATGAGCAAGGTGAGGAAGATGGGTTGATGGGATAGCAGGGTGGGTATAACAGTCAGGGTTTGCTCTGAGATGCCTGAAAGCGAAGGCGCAAGGAGGTGGAGAGAGAGTCGGAGGGGGAGGCGGCTGCTCCTGTTGTGAAGGCCAAGAGCAAGTTGAGCAAGGTGAGGGGTGGGATGAGCAAGGTGGGGTGAAGCCGGATTTTGGGGTTCAGATGTGGAGAGCAAGAGGACCCACCTGCCCAATTCACCTGCCTAACTTACCTGCCCAATTCACCTGCCTAACTTACCTGCCCAATTCACCTGCCTAGCCCACCGGTCAGAGTGTGTTCTATTCATAGTCATACTAACCCCCTCTGTCCAACCCACCCAAGTGTGTGCTGCTTGGAATCTTCATTCCTTCTCCCCCATTCTCACCACTCCCTTCACCACCCTGCTCAACCCCCCCTTACTCAACCCTGCCTGCTCATCCTCTCCCCCCCCCACTTGCTCAACCCCCCTGCTCACCCTCCCCCTCCTCACCACCACTCACAGGCAGAGAAGGAGCTACAGAAGAAGCAGAAGGGACAACAGTCCGACCAACACAGCCAACCCACCCCTCTTTCCTCCCTCTCCCTCTCCCTCACCTGCCCCCCGCCACTCCCAGGCGGAGAAGGAGCTACAGAAGAAGCAGAAGGCACAGGCGTTTCAGACCAAGCAGTCGCAGGGGAAAGTGGCCAAGAACGCCAAGCGATGGTCGTAGGAGCTTGGTTGGCGGGAGGGAGATATTGAGAGAGATACGACGAGTGTAGCTACCTGCTACCAGACCTGTCATGGATTTTAGTAGGAGGCTTGTAGACTTTGAGCAGGGTGGGTGGGATGGGCAGAGTGTGAAACTGAAGGCCGTAGGGTAAGGAATAATAGCATCTGCCGTTGAACTTCCCTTGTGGATGTATGAGACAGACTTCTCTGTGCATAACTGCTTGATTTTTGTATCACACTCAGGGCTGATTTTGTCAGACTATTTTAGTCTGATTGTCTGAAATCTCAGACTCTTTTTTTCGCCTTTCCTGAAATTTCAGTATTCCTGTATTCTGAACTCTGAAGGCCTCAGACCTGTTAGTTTTTCAACTCTGAAAATTTCAGAGTACTTCATTGTGCGATACTGAGACTCGAGACTACAGGGAGTATGGCCCCTGAATTTGCCGAATTTCAGTCCTCCCCCCTCCCCCTCTCTCGAATTACATTCAATTCCCCCCCTGCCCCCCTCCCCCCTCCCCCTTCCCCCGCCCCCTCTTACTCCTGCTTCTCGCCAACTCCGCAACGTTTTCCCTAGGCCAAACTCGCTTGACAGATATTCGCTATTCACCAACTCGGATGCGGTTTTACAAACTTAAAACTTTTCAGACTAATGATTTTTTCAAACCTGACATTTCAGAGTACTCAGAACTTGGGAAATGACCCTCAGACTAAACGAAATCTTTTTCTCCCCTGCCTCAGAGTGGGTTTTTTTGAAACGTCAGCCCTGATCACACTACGGCCCTGGCCAGCTTGAGTCCAGCATCAGGTGGGAATTTTCAGTTAATTTAACATAACCTGCGGTTGAAATTACTTTGAAATAACAGAAACACAAAATGAAGCTTTTATGGAGAGCATCTCACACTAAGACTGATCCCACTATCAACAACACAGAAGGTTACTAAGCTTTAGCTCTTTACAGAGCACAAAATACAATGAACAAGCTAATTGGCAGCTCGTCTGCCTAAAGCAGTAAACGAAGAGGCTACAGTGGTGCTGAGTTCAACTGCCCGCGCTGTTTCGTCGTCCAATGAGCGCGCGCGGATGAACCGGCAGAGACTGCAGTCGGTGTGAAGCAGCGACGAGACTTGGTAGTCGTCTACAGTGCCGTCAATGAAACAGTCGGCGTTATCCCCAGGCACGACGTACGCGTTAAAGAGCTTGCTGTACACCAAGGCCTGCTTCTCCCTGTGGAGATAAGGGCGGACAGAAGAAGAGATACGAAACTTAAAGTTCAGGAAGCATAACATAACCTGATAGTCAGAGTGTCAGAAACAGGTTAAGAGGGACTAATGAAGTGGGGCTGACGAGGGAACAAGGCCAGACTAATCAAAGGGAATAAAGAAATAAGATGGCGAAGAGGTTGGAATGAAGGGATATTGGAGAAAAGAAACTGAAACTTACAATCGGCCGGCGAAGTCGGGGCGGTAAGTTTGGCCAAGCACGCCGTGGACGTTAGCCGACAGCCTGGCGCTCAGAACCTCCACCGTGAAGTGAACCAGTCCGTCTTCAATCGTTCGCATCATTTCGATCTCCGGGCGAAGGGTCAGCCGTAACGAGAGGACGTCCGCGACGGTAACTTCGTATTCGTCAACCAGATCGCCACCGTAAGGCTTCGCACCAGCAAGCCACTTCACTTCGCCTTGCCCATCAAACAGGTACATCTTTTCGCCAGGGAATTTGAGCTTCTTCGCCACGCCGTCGACGGTTAACGAAGCGAGGTAACCCTTGCGATATTTCGGGTCGGGGCCTTCGCGAGCCTCGAAGATGATGGAGTGATGGCCCCAAAGAATCGCAATCTTTCGCATCCACGTCAGCGCCTTTCGCTCACTGTCCATCCAACGAGCCCAGCGACCTCCGAAAAACGCGTTCACTTGGACATGCGAATCCGTAATGAGGGCGAAGTTTTCGTTCGGGATGCCACTGAAATCGAAGCGAGACTTGTCCGCGCCAACGAAATGAGGGTCGCCGGTAACATTGCTGTCGCAAATCTTGCCCACGTAGAATCGCGATTCCGGTTGGTAATCGCCGGTTGTGTCGGTAAAGCTGTCCATCGTGTTATCGGGGTTGAAGTGTTCGAGTGTGCACACGCCTTCATCGAAGCACGCGCATACACCTGCAAACAAAACAGAACCAAATAATGAACGAGGCGGGCAAATATATTGAGCATCTCGTTTAAAATGCGAGGAATGGGAGAAACTATGGATGGAATCCTGTACTTTGACAACCTTCCAACACCCAATAACGACGCAAGGTATCCTTGCCAGACGCTATCGACAGCTGCAAGCATCTGTACCAATACACCTGCTGGTCCTATCCTTGCAGATGCTATCCGGTAAATGCAACGAAATCTAAACACAGCGAGCGTAGTTTCGATAAGCTCTGAAACCGCGCCACGCACCTCCAATGTCGCATGTCTCCTCGTACTGCCAGTAAGTCACCGTGTCGCTGGGGTTCTCCTTATTATAATCGCTGCACACCTTCCAGCAGTCGTAAAACGGGTCGGTCAATAACGGATCCCACGCCGGGGAATCTGTGTCGTTGAAGATAAACGGCATGGAATATTTGAACATGTACTCAATGTCCTCCGAGTCGCTATCAGTGAACATTCCCTTCTCGTACGCTCCAGGCTTGCAGCCGAAACTAGGGCAAGCCCCGAAGGCCGAGCCTTCCTGGCCAGGGTACGGCTTTTTGGAGATATCGACGGCAGTTGCGGCGACGAGGCACGGGATGACCAGTGCTATTATCAATGGGAGAGCGCGACACGGTTCCATGGCTACAGGGTGATTACACTAAACGGTCTGCGCTTCGAGCCAGTACTATTTGACGCCTAAGACCAACTGTTACCTCACTATTCTAGCAACCTAAGAGTAGAACAGCACTGCGTAGGTAGGTTGGGCGGAGAACAGAGTGGAAGAGGAGAGGAGCAGAGAGAAAGGGCAGAGAGAGAGAGGCACCGATTTCTCAGATCAGAAGCACGGATGCTCTCTACCACCACCAGGACAATGTACTGTGCAGCACTAGTCATGGCACAGCACAGCGCCCCAGTGATATGGGGGGCGGAGAGCACAGTCAAGAGGGCTAGCTGTCACTGTTCGGTTCGGCTGCTCAGAGGCACCGCAGGTTGGTTTCAGAATAGGCGCCAGGCAGCTGGAAATACGGATGGAGGAAAACGATTGGGTTTGGGAAGTCAGCAGAGGACCAGGGTTAGCGAACCCGGTGCTTGGGTCTATTGGGCAGTTTCCCATCACGTTTACTGACCAGTTTCGGAGTACGAATGACAGGGGATTTGTGTAGTGTGTCCGCCAAAGTTTCATGTTTTTTAAGTCCGTGCAGGCCATTTGGCTAAGTGCCACCACCAAGAGCAACCAGGAAAACCAAACCACCCTCCAAAGCATGATTCGATTCCAGTTCCGTAACTGTTCAGCAACAAAACACCAAGGCTTATCACTGGACGATGCGATGAAACCAATAAACAGTCCTTCGTAACAACTGTGTCAGGTGGTTTTGCTAGCTTCTTCTGCTGTCGTTTTGTTCATCGCGTTTCAGTGCAATCCACGCCTACCTGAGAAACTATTTGGCCAAGGCTACGCAGCTTGTGTCAGTATTTCTCAAAACAACGAGATTCACTATAGAAACGGGCGGTATGGTTTGTCTTTTAAAGGCGTGAAACGACAGGGCACGGTCAGCATTCGACTCTGTGAGGTGTGATGGGAAGGGATAGGGCGGCAACATCTGGTTTGCGTTTCGTCAAGGCACTTCTTCCATAACTGTACTGAGTACACTTTCACAATATATGTTATCTCCATCTCGACTAATCATGTCAAGAATCGATATTAACAGGCTCCCTTCCATCTAAACGGTGTTACTTGACAGCGGGGATTATCTTCCCCATAACTTTTGCCTTCTTCTCTGACATTCAAAGAATGACTTGAACGACCCTCGAGAATACCGATTCGCGTATTTTTCTGTGACGTCACCGCGCTGTCTGATTACTTACTAGCAGCTATTCAAATACTTCCAGACGCGCTTCCAGTAAGATTTTTCCGCTTTTTCAGGTTCTTAGTCCTTTGGGTCTAGAATTTTCAAACAGACCTTTCGCCAAGCTGCTGATAAGTACACACCGCGTTTGTGAAATACAGGCCACGAGACATCGAAGCTGTTATCGACAGTTCCGAGGGTTGCGTTACACCAGCCAGCCTCCGTAGCTTCTCCGACCGAAAGCCTCTTTCCGGCAGACACGAGCAGCATTTCTCGTTACTCTTTGAGAAGAATCTCGAGGTGTCATTCACTCCTGCCAGCATTTCTCGTTACCCTTTAGTACCGAACCGCATAAGCCATCATCAACTCTAACCGCAACGGTTAACTCTCAACACCCGCCAATGACGGCGCGAATGCTGGCAATGGATGGGTTCTTAGAGCCACCGCATTGAGGATTACACCTTGTTGCCACGTGTCACCTTCCCATTGGCGAATCATGGGAGCATGTCTTTCCACCAAGTCATCATCCAACGGTGGCAAACAGCGTACGTCAGGCTAGGATCTCTCGTGCTCTCGTGGCGTGATGTAACGTAGGTCTGGCGTACATTTCACGTACGGCCGTCTGAGGGAAGTAATCATGAATGTAATCATGCTGTTCTGAAAAGACGAAATTAACACCAGGCTAGGGTTTGCAGTACGTCCCATTTCCACATTCTTCTTTCCCACTTACGTGCTCCAGTTTTCCAATTTCTCCCCTTGTTTTCCTTTCCTTCTTACCCCTTTGCCATTGTCCTCAACCCCACCCCCCCACCATCAACTTGCAGGCAAACCCGCAGCAGCAACCACTCTCCCCCCTCTCACTGTCTCTCTCTTCTCCGCTTCCGCCAATCCCCCTCTCCCTCCCCCTCTTCCACCCTCTCTTCCTCCCCCTAAGCCGTCCCCCCATCCATCCGCGGAATACAACTCCCAGCACCCCCTTCCGCC